CCCCCCCCCCCCCCCCCCCCAATAAAAATTGCCACATAAAGTGGGAATTCTTCCTGGATATTTTAGCCAAAACCCTTTGTTCAACTGGAAAAACAGGAGAGGGGGGCAATTTCCACCACATCCAAGGTGTTGATGGGAAGTTACTGTGCCTGAGATAATATCAAGGATAGAGTGTGCACAACTTCGTGTGCAAGCCTTGGATGTGACCTCTGTTGGACTGTGGAGTCATGTGCTGTGAGGGCTGAAGACTGCTAGAATAGCTTTCTGTTATTGTTCATTATCCTCCAGAAAGTCATGTTGCAATGGAAAGCAGAAAATGGTGCCTAGTGGTGGCAAGTGTCCCATTTTGTGGCTGCTGGGAGAAGGAGGTAAAGCCAGCCTGATGTTCGTCTTCCCTTCCATTATATGGACTTGAGCTAGCATTGTGGGGGAAAAGACAACCCTTCAAAGGACAGTTCACAAAGGGTGCTGTGTCCTTGGAGAGGTCACCTGAATTAGCAGCATCAGGCTTTCTTCTCTGTTTCTGCATTTCTGGCATGACCTCTGTTTTCAACTAACTTCTCTGTTCCTTAGTTTTTCCAAAGAAATTACTATTTCTTAAGAGCTCTAGGAGACTGAAATTTTTTTACTGTAGCACTCAGAGAAAAACAGAAATGCAGAGCTCTGCGTTCTTAATAGTTAGCTTAAAAGCTCATTGCTTTTGTTTTTCAGAACAATGATCTCCTCTGGACGGATTTCCATCAGAAGCTGGTGGATCAGGCACTTCTGACCATGGATACATATCTTGGCCAATTTCCAGATATTAAAGTAAGATTCTCTTTAAACCTTTTGATCTAGAGTGTCACAACAGATGAAACCTCATAAGAGTCAATTTCTTGCATCCCCATCTTCTTTAGTGTGTGCTTTGCTGCTGCAAGCTCTCCTCTTAGAGCAGCCAATTTCTTTGCAGCTCTGGATCACATGAAAATGTTATGTTCTCCTTCTGAGTTTAAAATGAGAGCAAAGAATCCTGGGGAAAGATGCTGAAGAGAAAACTTACGTGTAAAACAGGAGGATCCATAAAATTCACAACTGTATCAGAGTGCAGGGCAGCATCAGCAATAACTCACAAGTTCTCAGTCTCTCTTTTTGGTTCTTTGTATTTTTAACTTCATTGTAAGCACAAAACATTGAGGAAGCAGTTAGTGGCAAACGTGCTTTATATGTAGAGGCTGGTGTGGAAGGCAGATTTTTGTTGTTCCCTGGAGTTCTGTTGTATATATAACCAGCTTTTTACAGGAAAAGGGGAATGCTGGATAGACATCTTTTGGTGAGAAATTGTATCCAAGGACCTGGGTTTGAATGATGTCCTGTGAGCTTCCCTTCCCCCCCCCAGTTATCTCCTCTCCATTCACTTTGAGAAGGTTATGCAGGAAATGTCTTCACCATATGGAAGCACTAGTAATGATATCACCATATGGGAAGTATCAGCTTGGCTACTTCCCAGTGAAAACAACCCTTTCCCCACCACATGTCTCTTAAAACGTTTGTCAATATTTGTTGCTTCAGGAGGATCATGCTGTATCAAAGGGGGGGCAGGTCACAGGCTTGTAAAATGAGCCCTGAACAGCGGTGTCCTTACCTCCTGGGGCTCCTTGGTTTTGCTCTGTTTTTCCAGCCTCTTCTGTCCCTGAAAGTCTGAAGTGGGGAATAGTGAAGAGGCTTGCTGTTGCTTTCTACCTCCTCAAGGCTGTAGAGCTGATTGCCTCCCATAGTGTGTTGCCATGTGCCTCAGCAGTCCAGAGGCTCGGGCACTGCTTCCGAAGCAGAACGTTCTATTTAAGGCTCACTGTAGACTCAGACTTCTGCACTGCTTCAGTCCAAGTCACGTTTTACCAGCCTTGTCAGCTGTGCATTGGGTCACCTCAGAGTGTCAGTTTTTTCTATGCTGAGTATCTTTGGGATCTCTTAATTCTGCTGGGGTCCCACTGTGGTTTTACAGTGGAATTTTGAAAGGAGTGCAAGACTGGGGCACCCAAATTGCACCAAACCTCAAGGTGTTAGGCACTGAGCTCCCATGGATGCTTTCTGACTTCTGAAAGAGCCTCTAAGGTATTTATCGCTAACACTCCTTTCTCAGTCTTCAGATGATGCTCTAGAAAATGGGAAGTTAAATTAATTTTATGCACAATTTAACTAATGCTTGAAAAGGGAGCGTTACTCACCTCTACTTTCCATGATAAAATGAGTGAGAATTTGACTTTCTGTTGGTACCTGCAATAAGATATGGATATATTTCACAAGAGTTGGCTATTTAAAAGTCCTTTTAAAACAATGCTATGTATTAATAGAAGTCAGTATGTTTTTATTGGTAATTCAGCTGGATGCATTATCCTCCTTACATGAGCAGTGGCTCAGATCAATTATGTTTACCTCAACTGGTAGAAACTCCAGAAGTGCTGTTTTTGAAGTTTGCTACAGTTGTACAAAAGTGTACTTTGGTTTCACATAAGGAATTAGAACTTTTGAGGATGGCAGACAAAAAAATAGTCTTATGTAACTTACAGAATATTTGAGGTTGTTGTTGTTGTGGTAATAGTTTTCTGGTTTTTATTTTCCACAAAAGCAAGTTTTCTGCTTTTCCTGGAATTCTGGCATTACTATGATAATGAAAGAAGATTTATGGAGAGAAGATGATTTTAAGTTAGTTATGTGAAGGCCTGTTTTTTGTTAACAGCCTAGTAATTCAAATGTGTGATGAGTTAGATCATGCACACATTATTTTTTGTTAAATTCTAACATATTCTGAATCTTTCTTCAGTTGAGGGGCTGGAAAAATTCCCTTGAATTTTTTGGACTTGCAACGGGATCCACAGCAGGAATGTGAAAATATAGCATTCCTTTAGTAAAGAATTTTTATAAGTTAAAGGGAATAATTTTTAAATGTTGGGTGGGGGAAGGGATAGCAAAAGCCTTACTATCTTCTCTGACTTGAAAAACCGGAATGCAAAAATTTCTTTTATTCTTTCTTTGAAGTTCAGTATCTATAACTTATTGGAGTAGGACTCTTGCATAATCAATAGTATTTCTGAGTGAGTTTTTGGTTGAGGTTGCAGAGTATGCAGTAAGAGTACAGGTCTCTGCAGTGGGCCCAGAGAAGCTAAACCCTAAACCAAGTTCTGAATAGCTGAGGAATTAGCGACTTTCCATATTGCATTGAAACCAGTGCCCTGTTTCTACAAGGTTTAAAACCAAATATCGGGGCGGGGGGGGGAGTGTTTTGTTGTAGTTTAGGTGGTTTTTTGTTGTGTTTTTTTCCTCTTAAAGGAGTCTCAAATAAATATGAATTTGTTGCAAAGCAGTAAACTGTTGAAGTTCAGCTTTTACCTTCAGATAGTGTTGGGTACCTGCAACTGTCCTAGAGCCATACGAGGAAGCTACCCTCCAGCCTTCCACGACCTCGCTCAGCCCCATCACTGCCATCGCAGGCAGTCATGTGATCAGGACTCCCACACTGTGCTGTTGTACCTTGCAGCGTTTCCACTTACTCTAGTAAAAATGAGGGTGGGAGGTAGAAAATCAAGAGCTGCAAAAAAAGGGCAGGAGTGACCTTATTTGAAACATGAGTGACATTGAATCAAACTCCCTGGTGGGGTGACAGGGAAACCTGGAAGTGGCTGTTTGCCATGTCAGAGGTGGGCAAAACTCCAGCTATCTCTACTAGTCTGATCTGGGGGAAAAATCCTCTCAAAACACATGGGAAAAATCCTCTCAAATCTGGGATTTATCTGGTGTGTGTGTAGGACACGTTAACAAGCATCTGGGATTGTCACGCTGCTGGAAGGCCCTTCTGACATTCTGCCTCTGTGTCCGGCTGGCAACGTGATGTCTGGGAGGTGTCTTCTAGTGACCTCGACTGCAGGGTGGCTCAGCTTCTTTGTGATACCTCTCCTGGAGTGAGCTGAGCTCTTTGAAATCTGTTTGGGTGTGCGTGTGGCTGAGATCCTGCAGATCTGCTGTGACTCACACAGAGCTGCCCCAGCGTTTACTGAAAGTGCAGAGGAGCGTGTGTGGGAGACGTGCGAACTGATCCCAACTGGTCTGGCAGAAAGATATCAGCCCTGAGCGCGGTTTTGCAGCTTATCTGCAGGCACCTAGGGAGAGGAGACCGCATCTCCCTGCCAAGTGTAGTGGAGGGGAAAGTTCTGCTTTTCTAAGCAAATCCCAATGCTGATTCTTCATCTCGCACTTTCAATTTCCCTGGGTGCTGCGGTTAATTAGAAACTCTTCTGGCTCCGTGCCATCTCTCAGTTCTATAGCCTGTCTCTAGCTTGCTGATGGCTGACACTGAACCAGGCTCTGTGAGCTGGGGAGGTGCTAGGGTCAGGCTGAAAAGATGTGTGCTCAACTCAGATAGTCTGGGGTGTTTGTAGAGTGTGGGAGGTGAGGGTGTAAGGGGGGTGGATGGTTCTTAAAACAGGGTAGCCCAGTAGGCCTGAGCCTCCCCAAGGTGAAACTCTACTGGAGGAGAGAGCCTTGAGGCACCTCAGGTAGAGAAGGGTGATGGAGGATCAGGCCACAGGCCTGGCTGTCCATTCTGGATTCTTACACATGGACTTGTCAGGACTCTGTTCCTGACCATGAGTCTGGTACTCAGTTAAGTCCCTCCTTGCATTTGCTACAGCTTCAGTGTCTTGCCTGTTAGTGATATGATTTTCCCCTTGCACTTGTCTTGCTTAATAGCTAGTTACAGCGGACTGCTGCCTGTGGCTGTGGTCGCTTCTGTCTGGACCTTCTGTTGCAGGGTCTAAAATGCTGTCCTAGGCATATCCTGAGCATATGGGAGTGCATTTGCTGTGCTGGCAACAGAAATACCTTCTTTTGTTGAACTTAATCTGAGTTTCCACACAAACTAGGACTCTGAGCTGGTTAGTTAGTCTGGCTGCAACCCTCAGGAAGCCCTGAAAATGATGAAACAGGCACATGGGGAGGCTTAGGAAGCATGGGAGCTACAGTTTTGAAGACTTAAATGTCATCCAGAGGTGGGGCCTGTTGTTGGTTGGATCCTTTGCTTTCCCTCTCTCCTTCTGAGGAGCTCCCTCTACAATGGTGGTTGCCACGGGTGGCTCCCAGGGCTATCTCTGTGGGGCAACCTGTGTGGAATATCCAGTAGTGTCCTTGTGTGGGCAGTGCATGGGGTGCTCTGGAAGTTGGGTGGAGAGGAGGATGCTTTTCCTGAGAGGCTTTGTGGTTTTGGCTGCTGGGGAAGATTGTCACAACTCTTTTCTTCATCTTTCTTAGTCTCGTATAGCAAAGCGAGGAAGGAAGCTTGTGGATTACGACAGTGCCAGACACCACTTTGAAGCCCTGCAGACTGCAAAGAAGAAGGATGAAACAAAAATTGCCAAGGTAAGGCAAGCAGAAGGATATGCAGCCATCCTTTCATTTTTGGAAGGCCTTTGCATTTGCCTATTGAGCAGGTTTTAAGTGCATCTGTACCTCTTCGCTGGGTGTGTTTTCATTGAATCATTTAGATTGGAGAGGACCTTTAAGATCATTGAAGTTTCATGAACTGGTGAGGTTTTGCTAGGTATTTCTTTCTCATCTGTTTAGTTCTAGAAGACAGGATGGTCCCTGTTGTGTTGGTTCAGACCCACCGTTACCAGTCTGCATCTCTCAGAGGCCAAGGCCTAGGCATGCCTTTCCTCAGATGCTGCAGGACCAGTAACTGCCATCAGAAAAGCCCACGTGCCTCTTGGGGGAACAAAACCTTGCAGTGACCTAGAAAAATTTTCCAGTTTGTCTGCTGCTTGGGGCTCTGTCTCTCCCCATCTTAGAGTGGTGGTGAGAGTTAAGTGTTTGAGTGTCACTTGAGGTTGTTTGTGTTTGTGAAGTCCTCTGATATTCTAGCACAGAGACCCTTAGGAGTGTGAATTACAAGTTCATTCTTGGAAATGTACCCTATGCATGCTTGATGACTGTTTTGCTGTCTGTTGGTAACAGTTACTAGATGATAAATATGGCTGAAAGCAGAAAACCAAGAGTTTTCTCTTGTCAGGGTGTGATTTCTTTCATGCCTGTGAACTGCTTGATCCAGGGTTAACTGCAGAGCATGTCCAACACACAAGGATTTTATTTTTAATTAAAATAAATTTCATTAAAATTAAGATTTAGATTTTCTTTTAAATGTAGCTGAAGAAATGTGATAGTACTAACCTTGAATACCTGCCCAGAAAATGAGCTGTGAATTACTCCTGTACCCTGAGTGGATCTGAACCGATGTGCTCCACTCCGCAGGACAGGTTTTGACACAGTAGAATAATCCAGGGCTGGGAATGCATCTTTAATTCTCTTGAATGTGGCCTGCAGCACGTTAAGATTCTCCAGGGTGGAAGCAGTGCAGGAAAGAAAGAGCCTGGATCTGTATCTTTTAACCAGGCTAAGAAGAGTTGTCATCCTTTGCTTAGAGTTATTTCTGGTAGGGGCAAATAGGGTCTATGTGAGAGATGCTAGTGGTTCTCCTGTGTGAAATAAATAAAGATGCATCTGTTCCCTGAGAGCGAGATCTGCATTTAATGGCCACAGTACTTTGAATTTTAAGCTGCAAGTCATCAGTCATCTGTCTACCCAGTGTATGCATTGTGATTAACCTTGACAGATAAAGGGGAGAGATTGATGGCTCAGGTGTCGTTGCATCATTTGTGTGGTAAAGCGAGTCTTGGTTCTGTATGCAAGGCATGAGACCAAGCTGGTTGTGCCTCCTGTTCAAAGCAGTATTTCCCTATGTTTTGGGGGTAAGAGCAGAATTTCCCCGGGGTGTGGTGTTGTTATTGGTGTGTACCTGTGGGATCTTTGCTGCAGTGGAAATGTCTTTTTGGTAGGAATTTATTTATGCAGCTTGGTACCTGGTGATCTGCACCAAAGAGGCTGGCCGCCTTTGTCATTGCTGCACTCACTCATGTTGCCCCAAATACTCACATAAGATGTTATTGTCGAGGGATTATTTGTTGCTCTTCTGTTAAAGTATGAAGAACAGTGCAACTTGAATAGTGAAATGTTGAGATTTAGAAGTTGGTGCTCTGTTCCTGATTCAGCCTGTGCAAGTGTCTCTTAGTACTTGATTGGACTCTTTGCCTTAGCCAAATTGTGGGCTGGATCAGATCTTTCCACCCTCTGTGCTTTAGGCCATAAACTCATGCATGGGATAATATGTGACACATTACATTGTCCTGGCCCTGTAAAGATGGGAGCAGTGAGTCCCCAAAAGTTATGTATGTATGCTCTTCCCAAATGGGCAGGTTTCACAGCCCAGCCTGTGTTCCCACACTTGCAGTCACACAGCTTTGCAGGGCTGTGGGCAGCAGCCAGGGCTCAGCGTGCACTACTCTGATGTAGGAAGTTCTCATCCCTCTTCCTGTGACTGCAGTTTTGCTCATGTGACCTTTGAAGTAGGGTTGTTCCAGTGTAAGGTACTCTGGAATATGATGACAAGCCCCTGGGAAAGGGAAATCATATTTATGACACAACATACAAGTGGCAACTGACTTGATTGATGTTTCACGGTATAGTAACAGAAACAGCAACGAAAATACTTTTTGGAGTTGTATAGTCCTTTTTTTTTTTTTTTTTTCTCTAATACATGGATGTTATTATGGCTACTTATTGCTAAACTCACAATCTGCCATTAAAATAAAGCATTGTGGACTTTCAGCTGTTGCATGCAAATAATTACAGTGGTTAATTAATCCTGATCTCTCTTTAAGGAGCTTCCACTTCACAGCCATGACTCGGAGTAGAGTTGTCTGTGTGCTAGGTCACTAACAACTATATCTGTTGCTCTTTGCAGCTGCCTGGCTGGTCTGCAGTATCCCAGCCCACACTGGAGCATTAATTACTGCTAAACTTGGCATGCTTCAAAGGATTCATAACTGATTGATCCTGGGATGTTTGTTTTTTCTCTTGCCTTGGTGATACTGGTTTGGCCAGCCTCTAAATACACTCACTGTTGTGGTTATAATTTTTTTATCCTAAAAGATATATGTTTGTGTCTCTCTTGTTCTGTTTATTTTTTTTTTCTCTTTTCACTCAAACATGCTCCCTCCCCCCAGCCTGTTTCGCTGCTTGAGAAAGCTGCGCCTCAGTGGTGTCAAGGGAAGCTACAAGCTCACCTCGTTGCACAAACTAATCTGCTCCGAAATCAGGTGACTGCTGATCTACCTGGCTCTAACCCTGCATGTGCTATTTTGGGCTCTAGATTGTACCATGCAACTAATCTTTAGGCAACGTTCACTCTAGTCCTCTTTAAGTGTGTCCTTGATACTCCTGAGTCACAGGTGGACACATGGAAGTTGCTGACCAGTGAATGAATCTGTGCCTGCCCTATTGATTTCTAATCAGGTGTATTAATACTGGACTATTGTTTTCTTTCTCTGAAATAAAATGTGGATGAAGAAAGGCTATGGAACAATGCCAAGGCAGAGGGTGATGTAGTGTAGTTTCTCCAATTACTGCTTTATTTTTCTTCTAAGAGAAGCAATTTTTAATGTTGCTGTTTTAAAAAAAAAAAAAGATATAAAAAGGAGGAAACACTGAAAAATTGGCTTCTGCATTTGTGCTATTGAGTAAAGACAGAAAAAAATCTCATTGCTTCAAAAGCAGTTTCTATGGCTGCTGAATTAGGTTGTGACATTCTCCTGTGGTAAAATCCAAATTTCCAAAATGGGCACTGTCCTGGCTGTCATGGACTAAAGAGCTGTTTCCAGATATATAGAGTTTCAGTCTGCGTAAAGAGGTGGGCCCAGACCAGCATCCCCTGTAATATATTTGAACAGCTCCGGGTTGAGGTTATGATTGTGTCATGTGGCAGAAGTTGGCTAAACGTGTAGGTTACAGCATCTTGAGGGAAATGAGAGCAGCTCAGAGAAATTCTAGGGACTAAGAATTTCAATCCTACTTGCATAGAAGTGTGGCTTCCTGATAAAATCTCCCTTGGTATTTACATTGGAGCTCCTTAAGGGATAAGAGGGAGCTGACAGAAAACAGTCAGAGAGAAGAACATACTTTCAATGGGCAAGGGATAGTAAATCATTACCCAAACTGGGAGAGCGCCAGTTACCTGTTCACAAGTTCCTGGTGAGCTCATCTGTTCTCATTCAGATGCTCCTACAACTTCACATTACTTGTCAGTGAATGAATTGATCAGGGAAAAGACTAGATTACTGCATCCATAAAGCCTGGGGAAAGAACAGCTGTTAGCAGTCCTGCTTAAGATGCGTAGCAAAGGGAGGAAATACGTATCCATTCTGGATGGAAGGATGAAGAACATTTGGCAGGCTGCTGGGGCTTTCCCAGTTCTTCTGCCATGCTGGGAATGATCTGCGTGGTTGTGGTTCTTGACTGGTCTGTTTGGCTGGTGGTATTTCTGGAGGACTAGAAAGCAGGTATGGGAAGTTTCTCAAGGTACAAGTAAATAAATTGGCTCTTGGACATTTTTCCTCTTCCCAGACTGGCTGGGGTGACCATGAGTAATACCACTGCCCACAGATTGCCTAGAGAAACAGTACCGAAGAGTTCTCCCCCATCCCTTGCACTCTGATCTTAGGTTGCTGAGACTCATTCAGTAATTTCACCTTACTGAGTGACTTTGCTATAAGGCAGGTGACAAGGGGGCATGTAGTCTTTCCACGCTGTCTGTTCTGGGGGTGTTGACCTCCTGCTACGTTCCATTAATATTTTTAGTCACCCCAGATATTTTCAAATCAAGTACTCTTTTAAGATTTTCCTCTTTCATTCTTGAACTAAACAGTACTATTGTCAACCTTAATTTTTTGTTTCTAATTGTGTGATTCTTTGTGTTAGGTTTTTTTTTTTAAAATTTTGATTGGGGACTATAAAAAAAAAAAATCAATAAAATATTCTGTACCTGTAGGGTTTCCGTCTTTTCGCAAACACAAGCAGTCAGGAGAAAAAAAGGCTTCATTTTTTATATTTGCATGAATTTAAGACTGAAGGTGTTACTGACAATCCTAAATCTCATTAAGCTCTTGATAAAAGCAGGAAGGCTGATGACACTGCATTTATTGAAGAGCTTCACAATGTTAAGCCTAAAAAAAATTCCTTCCCCTTACCAGCAGCTGTGTTGCTGTCTCTTCTTGCCTGGTATTTTTACAACTTCCAAGCAAAAATAGGGTCAGCAAGACCTATTATTTCTACTGTAAACCCTCTAGTGTGCAAACTGCTGGCTTTTTAGGCCTTTAGCAGATACTAACAAAAACCAATACAGTGGGGATCTTCTGTAAAGTCTCCTGGGGGGTTTGCTATTGCATGCTCTCAGTTATAAATTTGTGACTTAGCTTTTTGAAACAAAAGGGAAAATGGCTTAGAACAGCAAATTCTTGCCTTTTTGCTAAGCTCCCCTGAAATGCTGAATACAGACTAAAAAGCAACATCCTTGGTGCTGCAGTGATAACAGAACAATATCTCTGTAGGAGAAAGCCAGCAAGTTGTGTCCTGGGCTGTGCTGCCCTTCTGAGTCGGGTCTGGCTGGGACTGGTGGGGTCTTGGGCCTGGGATGGGGTGCACAGGTCTCCTCCCTACCTCCGCCTCATGGGTGTCTAAACTATTTACTGAGTAGTATGTAATTACCACAGTTCACAGCATAGTGTTAGAAGAGAAATGGTCACCAGTTTATCTGAAAGCTCCAGGCTGGACGTTGCCAGACACTCCTGAGTATAATGGGGAATAACTGCCCCCTTGTCCCAACTGAACTGGTTGTGCTTGGCACTCTGAGCCTTGGCTAGGGGAAAGGTCAGGAAAGCATTTGTGTTGTCCAGCTCCCACTCAAACCTTCCCCCTTTTAGGAAGGGAAAGGAATAATTTTCTGAGATCACATTTTATTGGCCTGGACATTATGTCCTTATGCCTCAGTTCTCCATCAGGTTGGCAAGGATGACAGCTGAAATAGAAAGGGCTGACAAAGAAGTGAAGAATTAATTCAGTGCTGTACCTGGGACTGAGAGCACTAGCTGAGCCACAGGCACTAGATGGATCCCCAATTCCTACAGCTACTCTGGAGTGAACGTTGCCTGTTGCTGATTTTGCCTTTGCCTCAGGATGTTGCAATATTTGCATGTTGCTTTCTAGGTTCTCTGACCTTCTGAAGAGGTAAATGAGAGAGGGAAAGACTGTTACTAATATCTGTTGTATCTGAAAAACTAACAGCATTCAGTGGTGCCTCATCTCCCAGCTATCCCATCCTCCTGGGTTAATTCTGGTTCCAGTCAAGTCTGGAAATTAGAATAAGATAAAGCCAAAGGATGGACTGGAATTTTTTTTCTTCCTTTAAAATGGTTACATTAGAAACATTCATTTGTAGAGAGATATTAAGGCAGAAGGAGTGTTTGTGATCATCATCTGTGATCCAGCATAAACTGTCTCTCTGTTTAAATTGGCTTTTTGTTTGTTTTCTTCAAGCTCTCTCAAAATGTTGAGTTTTTCAGTGAGTGTAGTGGTGAAATACAGGGGTTTCTGGTTGGAAGCATCATGGCCCCTTCTCTTCCTGCCTGTTCCTCACAAGATCTGCCTAACTTTTGAATACATCCCAGTTATGTCTTTTTCTGGGAGAAACTTTCTCTTCTAATATTGAATGCAAAGTCTTAGCCTTGCCTTTGGCAGCAGTGAGCAATCCTCTGAAAGGTGGAGCTAGCTGGAAAGTAGGAGCTTCTGTGGCTTGCTTATAAGACAGGAGAGAAATTGAGAGTCTAAGGATCCTATACAACACTGAGGAACAAGACTCTGAACTGCAAAATATTTTAAAGTCCTTTCTCCTATCAATTCTATCTTTGCATATACCCGTCACTAAGGAGCTGTGAGCTGGATTTCTTTAAACTGGCACAAAGAAGATAAAACTTAATTTTGTAGAAGGGGTAGGAATCTGATTGCAGGTTTGTAGAGAGATCCAGTTCCCCATTGGCTTGCGGGCTCTGCAGATCCCTATGTTATCATGACATTCCTACTGTTGTCACGCATGTAAGGAGGCACTCATGCTGACATTCCTGTTAAGGTGTGTTGTCAAGTTGCTCATGCAGGGATTTGCTATCCTGCATCCCACTGCAAAGGGTTATGAGAGAATGCTATGCTCTTACAAATTACAGAATAGAAATGTTTTAATTAGCAAGTTTCAAGGTTTAACTTGGGGCACTGAAAAGAGGAAGAGGTCACCTAGGACAAATATAGGAAGGGGATTATGCTTGTTGCTGGTGTCTGCTGTCAGCAACAGAAACCAGGATCATCCTTTTTGTCACTGAAACCTGGCAGAATTCATGCATCAGTGTTGGGGTATGTCAGGGTCTACGTCAAATGAACAGACCAAGTTTAAACTCTCAACTGGAGGAAGCAGTCCTGTATAAGGCATATTTCCTTTGGTATTAGTGGCCAACAGCCATCCAGGGATTGTTCTTGTATTAGATCCTCACTGAGTTGTGAAACCAAGACCTGCTGCTCAAGCACTCCAGCCTGGCCTCCTGCTGGCACAGCTCATGCTTTGCATACCCTTGCTTGCTTCTCCATTTGGCTTTGTGAGAGCGCTGTATCAGCCGAGGATGCAGACCTCCTCCCGTCCTCGGAAGAGATGGGGCTTTGGCATGACCTTACCAGAGCAGAGAGAGAGTCCCCGTGAGGGAGGACTCTTCTTCAGTGTCATTTGGGATGGATTTCAACTCTTTCAGAGACCTAGCAAGGGACAGGGGCCACTCCTAGCTTCATCTGTGTCTAAGCTGGAGGTTGAGCTGCCTGACCTGCTCCCTTCAGTTTTTGAAGCCAGGGAATCTTGGAGAACTTAAAACACATTAGTGGATGTTTGAATTACTTTCTGAGTAAAAACAGGGAAATCCCTTGAGAGAAAACCTGAGAGTAATGCTTGCAAGCTGAAGGGGCATCAAGTCACTTGTGATGCAACCCTGGTTTCCTCATTTGGGATAGGGATTACCCTATGCCAGAACTTTGCCTGGTCTCCCAAGGAAGTCAGAAGTCACAGTTGTCCCAGTCCTGCAGGGTACTTATCTGCGCTAGAGCTGACAATCTCCCTTCTCTGTTATTAAGGCTGAAGAAGAGTTAGTAAAGGCTCAGAAGGTCTTTGAAGAGATGAATGTTGATCTGCAGGAGGAGCTGCCTTCGCTATGGAATAGGTGAGTGCTGGAAGTTTTCTCAAGGGGTGGTTGGAAGGAAATGAAGACTCAAGCTCTTGTATCACTGTTCTCCTTAGTTTGAGCTGGGTGTCTGCTCTTGTTTTCTGGATCATCTCAGACAAATTAATTCTAGGATTCCCGCCAGACATGTTCACCCTGGGCTTTCTGTGCTTTGCTTCATGATCCTCACGAGAAACTCAATTTTACCACAAAGAGAAACTGTTTCTATGCTTCATCTGATTAATCCTTTTGTCCCACCAACTCTGCCCAACTTTCCTGGGCAGTGACCCAGCTTCTGCTGTGGACAGTAGACAGAGCAGGCTGTGGTTCACTAAGATTTTGGGTGTGGAGCTGGCTGGCTGGCAGGAACATCTGCAGCTGTGTATGTCAGCTGACTAGTTAAGGGAAAATGAGATGTCAGAAGGGTTTATACAGTCACCAGGGTTGGAGAGAGCCAGGAGGTGATATGCCTTGATCACTGTGTCTCACCATGCAAGATTGTGAGCACCCTGTGAAGCAGCAAGTTTATCACAGGAGGGAGGATGAGACAACAGGGTGCTCTGCTTTGGATGTCGCTTTCAGGTTTGGACCAACATTTAGCTTGGAGTATAAACTGGAGGACAGCAGAAGCTGATATATGGGGAGGGCACAGTGGAAGGCAGGCAAAATCCTCCTAGGGGTGTTCCAGTTTCTTATTTTTAAATGCAGTGATCACATCTGGGTTGGCAGTGCTGGTCTGTGGGTGATGAAGAGAGTGGGTTATGGCAGGGTGGGAAAGCAAAGTGCTGATTTGTTCCTTCACTTCCTTTTCCTCCCAGCCTGGGTCAGGACTTGCTGCTCAAAGCAGTGTGTAGGCCTGACTGAGAAAGGAGCTGTGAGGGGTGAGACATCTGGGTGGTTCCATGTGCAGAACAGTGATGCTGCTGGCCTTGGAGAGCATCTCCCTCCTGCTGTTGTTCCTCCAGATGGGTGCTGGTTACAGCACTCTGGCAGCTGGCAAGCTGGCTAGAGGAAGGAGAGTGGCAGGTAGCTGCTGGGATTTTAAGGTGTCACAGGTTGTTCATAGGCTCTTGTTCAGTTGATCCTTTTGCTTTCCTGGTTCTCTCTGTGCCTATCCTGTGTTTTCTTACTCTTCTGCCCCTGAAGCAAACAGTTCATGCTTTTTGCTTCTCCTGGAGCTGAGAGACTTCAGAGCAAATTAATATTTGTCCTCCTGCCAATTCTCCTAACTCTCCCTACACTCCATCTGTGTCACAGCCTCTATTCTTCTCATTTCCATCACCCTACCACTGGCTCTCTTAATTTCTTCTTTTCTTTTTTTTTATTTCTTTCCGCTCCCCCTCTACCCTGCACCTCCCTCTCCCTTTAGCCCAGCACATGTTCAGATCCTCTCCCACCTGGCCTTCTCCTCACCATGGACATGTTTGCCCCATACCTGGCCTTTGGTCCATCACCCCCTTCACTCTCCTCTGCTGCCCTTCTCTTCCAGCATGTACCAGACCTGACAGAGTAGAGTTTGAATGGGAATGGTGGCTGGGAAGTAGCAGAAGGGGCAGAATGGAAAGGTTTTGGGAGAGCATTGTGTCCATTACATTCTTCTGTCTCATTTTTCATTTGGCAGTCGTGTTGGTTTCTACGTCAACACATTCCAGAGTATAGCAGGCCTAGAAGAGAACTTCCATAAAGAAATGAGCAAGGTAAGGCAACTAACAACTTACTCTACTAATACACCCCTTCCTTACTGTTACTAAAAAACCAAACAAAACGCACAAACAAAAAACGACCCCAAACTGAAAAAAACAGCTGGAGAGAACAGCATTTGCCCTATATCAGAGAAAAATGTTAACCCTTATTTTTTTCTGAGCCGCTTGGGAGAAAGGCTGTCTGAGATAGTCATGTAAAGGGATGCAACACAGGGAAGAGACCACAGGACCATGCAGCAGTGGGGAGTTTGTGTCACTTGGCAGGACTTGTTTGCATATCTGCAGAGGGAAGGGAAGCAACTTGCAGGTCTGTCTCTTGCTGTCTTTTTTTAGTTTGTCTACATTAGATATGTAACCTGGGCACTCTCAGCATGGTATCTATTTTCCTCCTCCTCTGCCTGGCAGCAAGTTGCTGTGAACCCTCATCTGTATAGCTGTGGGTATGAAAACAGCAGGGAAACTGCCAATCTGCAAGTCAGCTGAAGACTGAGACCCACCTCACTCTGGTCCCTCAAAAAGGCACTGCCCATCAGTACCTCTCTGCTTTGGCTTTTTTCCTGCCCTGTGACCCAAAAGAAGGCATTTGAGTTCTTAGCATGGCCCTTGCGTGGGCTACCAGTTGGGCACGATTTGGGAATCACAGCAGTAAGCATGGTTGTAACCTGGTAGCAGCAGACCAGATCCTGGTGCTGTGTGTCAGTGCCCAGCAGAGACCTCAGGGAACAGTCTGTGGGAAAGCCTCCCATTGCCAATTTCATTTACAAATATGTTCTTGTTCTTTCACTTAAAATCTAGAGAAGTCTTGAATTTCTTAGGTCTGTATGCTGCTTCGAAGAGTTGTGCACCCTCTGTAAATGTTGCACTAATCTTGATGAATGACTGAGAGCTGGAGAACTCTTGAATTCCCTCCCCTCCCCAATGTCATCCTAACAATAAGACAGCCGCTAAGCAACAAGCAACATTACAGTCCTTCAATTCCAAGCAGTCAGGGGCCCTCTGCCTTGGTGTAATGCATCAATTTTGAGCCCTGCTGACATTTCATGGGGACCTTTTCCAATTAATAGCCTGCTTTTCCCCGCTGAGGGATGAACTGGTTGTTAAGAACAGGGAGGATTGTTATAATTACCAGTTTGTTGCTGTTAACTTACAGTCAGCAAAACATGGGAAAGATGCTTGTTACACATGAATTCTCTTCTTGCATCATGTCTTGGATTTTTCTTTCCTGAGGAGTTTTGTATGAGAGCAGGGATTTTGCTTTATTCCATAAGAACCATCTGTTTCTTATTACTGCTATAGCATCCGATTAACTGCTGGTGTTGCTGGCACGATGCCTCCAACATTGATTGCATTGGATCCCTCCTCCTACCAATGATAAATCTGGCATCTCGTCTTGTTTATGAATTGGATGCTTCAGAATAGGAGTGTCTGGAGTGAATATTACAGCCTTTGGTGCCAGGGAGAGTTTAACCCCTAATACTGAGTCTCTGCAAAGATATTGAGATGCCCAAACATAGATGGCCCAGGCAGCCTGTGAAGTCAAGGCCTGTTGGTGACTGGAAGTCCAGCTGCCTTTGGCTCCACAGTTGAAATAGCCATATCCCAAACCTTGATAAGCGGTCTGAGGAACAGCTTTGGCTACAAATCCAGAGTGAACCTTCAGTTGTAGCACATAGACCCTTAGGCAAACACTCTACCCCCTTCTGCAGTGGTACCTGGCAGCACACCAGTGAGGGCAGGTGATAGAGAAGCAGAGAGGATGATGTGTAAGGGAGACAGAGCATTCCCAAAAGGCATCAGCAGCTCTTCAACAGTTTGAGTACTCTAGCATTTTGTACTCCATGGAGGAGTGGAAACAGATGTAGAGCTGTCCTCTCTTGGGATAGCTGAGTATGTGCACATGTCCGGGCGCAAGCCTGTGCAGGCCAGCCCAGACTCTCTTCTGGCACTTGGGGTCTTTTCTCATTCTTTTTCTTTCTTTTGTATTTTGCAGTTGAACCAAAATCTCCATGATGTCCTGCTGGGTCTAGACAAGCAGTACTCAGGCAATGCCTTCCCCGTTAAAGCACAGCCCAGGTCAGTAACTGTGGGAGCAGTGTCTTTCCCTCACCAGGGGAGGAGGAATAGGGATTTCTCTACCAGGGGTATTGAAACCTCCATGTTGTCATCTGGGGAGTGATTTGACTGCTTTCATATAGCCAGCCAGTGCTCTCCTGAGACTCCCTAGAGCATGCCCAAGATTGCACTTGGGGTTGGGTGATGCAATGTAATACCTCTTACCTTTCTAGAATAGCATCTGGAGGCCTAAACATTGGTGTTGATAGAGACCTAAACTGATAGACCTAAACTAGGTGCTGATATCTAGGCAACTGAGTCTCAGCTCTGCTTTTTTTAAAGTCGAATTCCATGCACTGACATGTAATACTGAGCTGCCCTTCCTTCTGGGTCCAGTTGCTCAGCACCTGTCCTGTTCTTTCCCTCAAAAGCTTCCACCATGTATCTGCAGCTTGGGAGCTTGACCAAAAAGAGCACATTTGTTTCCCCAGCCTCTTCCTTGGCCCTCCAAACTTGGAACCACCTGTCTGCCAAAGTCTTATAGTCACTCCTATGTACCCAGCTGAGGTGTGTTTCCTCAGTGTGAGTTGTGGAATTAGTTGCATCCTCACTAATATGAGGCTTCCTGATCTCAGAGCACTTCTAATCTACATGTATACAAGGAGTGGGTGTCCTTCAGGCCTTTAGTTTTCTTTACTCAGTGGGGTCCAGTCCTGTATGGTTAAGTGCAAGTCTGCACATTCTCTAGCACTGAGAGGGGAGGGAGAGGTCCGACTCTGGATGAAGCTGTCTGGCTCCCATCCAAATGCGTGAGTGATGAAACAACGTCGAGCTCTGGCTTCCAGCTGCTGCTAATCCCACGTGCCATGTGAGCAGGAACACAGTCCAAGTCCTCAATTGGTGCATTGATGGAGGGAGGAGGTGAAGTCAGCATGAAGTAAGGGCAAACTGTGGTCTGAGTGCACTGATTTGAAAGGGCTAGATCAGCTGTTGAGACCTCTGTGCTCCCCTGTCTCTCCTCCCAGTTTAACCTCCTTTTGCAGTTGTGCATAGTCAACTTGTGTGTCTTGTTCCAGCTCTAAAGGAAGAGGATGTTTGAGTAGAATTTCACCCCTGAATTTTGGATTGCTAACACCAAATTTCCAAGATGCTAATAGGAGTGCTTCTTGCAAAAATAATATCTTCCCAAATTAGCATGTGGTGTCTGTTTATCATCACAACCCAACAAGACTGAAGCCTTGTGAGGAGGCTGTGGTGCCCAGCCTCTTGCTGCCATGTGCCATGTTGTCTCTGATAGCAGCATTCTACAGGGTCCTTGGAAGAGGGTGAAATAACAGGACAGATGAAGGCTGTAGCCATTGCTTTCTCCAGCTCTTTCCTTCTCCTTTTCTTCCTCAAGGAAGTGGTTGCAGGCTGCAGTGACAGTCTGGCCCAGACATGTTTGGTGGTGTTGTGGCATGAAGTTTTCTGGCCTGAAAGAACCTCCAGTGGATAAATTACCTGTCCTCACGATTTCCACTTCTACAAACTACTAGCTTCATCTGGGGCTGTAGTGGGTGTCTCAGCCACAGTTCTGTGCTCTGTGGCTGGCTACAAGATCCCATGGGCCTAAAAACTGAAAATGAGAGCACACACAGAGGTCCCTGTGTGGGTAGAAATCTGATTGCTGCTGCTTCATCACTTAGTCCCTGCATCTCGGCTGAGGTGCCAGACCTGCCCCAGAGTGGCTCTCTTCCTCCTGAGCATGGTGGAGCAGGGTCTTGTAGGAGGATATAGCAAAGGTTTGCCAGGATAGTAAATATGTTTTGCAGTGACCAGGAAATGCTGTGAGGCACTTCTTTCTCTCCTGCACATCTGGCCTCTCTCTGTGGTGCAGGGCTGGAGCAAGAGTGTGCAGGAGGAAATAGCCCCTTATTATTGCTTATTGTGGTTTGCAGCATGAGCAGATGCTTCCCTAAACTTTCTCTACTGGGAAGGGGATTGGAGATGGATACAATGGCAGGAAATGAATGAGGAGCTGTGAGAAGAGAGGCAATTATCTGTGCACATCACTATGGCATTCATGCAAGGCCCTACAGAAGTATTTCTGTATCTGATGCTGGCTGTGTAGCACGGTAGTACAGAGATGGGAACGTCAGATGTATGTTTGGGATTTGTTTCTGAATGAGTTTGAGCATTCCAGGCTCAGATGCCTAGAAGACCTAGGAGATCTGTAGTGTTATCCTAGTATGATCAAACTGGAAAAAAATGTAGTAGGAAAGCTGCTGATTAGGTTCCACCTATGAGACTGCACAGATCACATAAGTAAAGGGAAATGGGGATCTTGTTTCTTGTGTACCAGTATTTACAGGGGAGACTGAGGAGCTGTGATAATCTCTGGAAAAAAAGACATCTACAGTTCTCAGCTGGTCTATACAGTTTCCTTTTTATTCTTCTCCATGTGCACCCTGGCCCTATATTCCAAAGAGCAGGGAAAACAGTAGATTGCTCACATATATGTAGAACTTTGACAATCACATAAAGCCCTCTCCTGCCCTCTCCAAAGCAGGCCATAGCTTTCTAGGAACCAAGGGAAGTGTGCACGTGTTTCTGTGTGTGTGAGAGAGAGGAGATCTTGTCATCTTGATTACAGTGAGTTTTGTGGCACCAAGTGAATGGGTGCTCAGAAGTTGAATTTTTCCTTCCTGGTTTGACTGTGCCATTCTGTAACGGAAATGATTTGCGTGCCATCCTCAACAGAAAGAAAACTAAACTGTTCGCCAGGCTCAGGAAAAAGATGAGCAGGTACCGGTACGGAGAGCAGCATTTCGATACATGTTTGATTTAGTTCCTAAAGCTGGAGAGGCTGTTGCTGGACTCTAACAGCCTGGCACGTGTTAACCCTGTGATGGGAGAGGGGTCCTTTGCATGATATGATGTGTTCGTGGCCTGCTGGGTCCTGCCGAGATCTCTCTGTTTCTGGATAATCCCATTAACTGCTTGTGCACCTGGTATGAATCCTTGCTTCTTTTCCTATCTAAGAAGGCAGTGTGAAAGCTCAGACATTGTCTTTTCAGTTGCTTTTGTGTGACCAGAATTGTAGTGCTGGGGTTTCCATGGAAAATAAGGGCAATTCTAATGATTAACAACCAGTAGTTTTACCTAGTGGAGCTTGCCCTTTTAAACAAGTCTGAAATGCTGTGTTCTCATTCCCTGCGCTGCAAGAGAGGCAGGTCTTTAAAACCCAGAAGTCCTGTCCTATCTACTTGTTGCAGTTGGGAGTATGATGGGATGGGAGAAGGATGCTTCCAGCTTTGCTCTTTACTTGCTCTGTTCTTGAGGGTTCTCAATACCTTGCTCCATCCATTTAAAATTTTGTGCAGGGCTGAAGGAGAAGAAACCCTGTTGTCTTGTATAAAGACAACAAATGTCAGCATCTTGCCTTTCAAGACAGTGATGTCATTGAATAACTGGATAGCTACTATGCCTAGAGTTACCATAGCCAAGGTCAAGGACTCTGACAAGAACATGCTGTGGAGCAAAGTGGGAATTGCTGCAAATGGCATGGAAGCTTCCTCTGATTTTTTTTTTTTTTAGTCTTTATGTTGGTATTTTCTCCATGGGGTCCCTATCGGAAGAAAAAAAAAAAAAAAAAAATTAATAATGGTGAATAGGGATCCTTGCTTTTCTGATTTTGGCTTCCCACTGACTAGGGCAAGTCACACAACCCTTCTGTCTCTGCTATGCATCCTTTGTAAAGTGGGAGGCTGGAGGGTGGGGAATGGTAATTTCACAGGGAAGCTAATGGGAAAATCTTGATTTTATGTCCTCAAATGAAAAGTAGTGAAGGAATGTCTGTGTTACTATTCTGAGGTTTTTTGCTATAGGAAAAAGAGGATTCCCAGTAGTACTTCTCCGGATGTTTGTCCCTGGTCCTTGGTTTGGATCAGTGTTGTACCTGCACCAGGCAGGAGGTCAAGTATTTCCAGTCACTGAGAACAGATGGATGCTACAGCAGAGGGAGAGCTAGTAAACCTCATTTTGGTGAGCTCTAGCCACAACATCCTGCTGCTTTGACCTCATAAAAGTCCAACTGGCCCAGCAGTTAAGGTGCCTGACCTGGGCTGTGCTGGGGGTTTCTGCTGTCAGAGCAGTTGCTGGGGTCAGAGAAATGTGCAACCCCTGGTGAGGGGAAGAAGGGTCTGGGACTTGGTCACTCTTTGATCTGCAGCAAGAATATATGTTTATGCCACTGTATGTTTGGGTATGTAGGTGCTTCTTCCTTCTTTTTCCTGTCTCTCCCCCCCCCTTTTTTTTTTTTAAAAAAAAAAAAAAAAAAAAAGAAAAAAAGAGTAATTCAATAGCCTGCTTTGGTGCTAAAAAATAAAAGTTACTTTTGGCTAAAAAACCCTGTCTGAGCCTTAGCGGAGATGCCAACCTCTTTTTCTTTTTAACTGAAGAACTTGGCAGGAGGTCACTGGTCTGTTTTTACCATATTGGAAAGTAGGTTTCATCCTCTACCAGAGGATTGTTAGAATCACATGGGAACCTCATCTGCAGATGTTACTCTGCTCTTCTAGAACAGATGAGGTGGCCCCATGATGGATCTGGGAGCTCAGCAGCACTAAAAGAGGCTGGGGGATTTTGGCTTTCCCTTCAGCTTTAGTAACTGCATTAGACTCCATTCCCAGCTCTCTATTTGCAGAAGAAAGTTGACACCCCCTTCCCTTTGCTGCCTGATATTCCTGGATTTGGCATCACTTCCCAGTTGCTCATGGGAAGGAAAAAGAGAGCGCAATGACCTTGTTTTGACTTGTTTTTACTGTGGTGCTCACGTTTCGTCAGTGGGGACAGTACCCACACTCTTGCACTCTTTTCCCCTGTGTTTCCTGGAGCGAGCAGGCAGTTTGGAGATGGGACTTTGCGCTGTGTGGACAGTGTGTGCTCCCTGGGGACCTGTGAAAGACAGGATCCTGGTGACAGGCTTGCTTGATGCTGGTTGCACTGGCTAAATGCGTGCAAAGCAACAAGTGCAGGAATGAAGGTGCTGCTCAGGGGACTGGAAAAGGCTCGGCCAAAATTAGCACTGGCATTTTCCAAGGGGGATCAGCCAACACATCAAACAAGCTGTAAATAGTAGTGACTTAATGAAGGCTTTAGTGTGGGGCCCTCTCAGCCCTTGTACAATGAGGGGAAGAAACTGGGCTGCCTCTCATGTGGGAGCCTTTTACCAATGTATCTCCAAATTAAGTCACTGTTGGGCACCTAAAATAGGGCACTAAAAAGCTGTTCCATGGCCTTTTAAAAAATAAGCCTGAATTCCTTTCTCACTGCGGGAAATGGCCTCTTCAGGTCCCTGGAAGAAAAAGTCTACCCTTGTGTTGGTAGGCCAGTTGATAGTCCCAATATTTTCAATGTAGTCTGAGTGTTTGAGGAGTCTCAGCAGTCTGTCTATAGATTGCTGTCCCCCATCTTCTCCAAAGTGCTTTCAACTCCGGAAAAAGTAACATGTAATTTTTTTCCCCAGCTCTAGCATCAGAAGACATTTTCTTTTGTTTCCTGCTGTTCCCTGGTGACTCCCATTTAGAGTGGGACTTCCTTACTTTCATCCTCCAACCATTTCTACTTTTAATTTGTAGCACAACCGTACCAATCTTGCAGAATCCTTCACCCAACCTACTGTTTTGAAGGGATTTCTGGGGACCTCTGAGGAAGGACTCTGTAGGCATATCAGTCAAACTGAAGAGCTGCAGGGGTTGACATACATGTTCTTGTTCCTCCTCTTGCCTTTTTCTTCTTCCTTTCCCTCTTTTTTTCCCTTGGTGTGTGTGCCCCTGGTTGAGAGCTGCTGTCAGAGAATGTCATTGGGTTTGTTGCATTATGGTGGTGTGCTGCTAGCATCAGTGTCATCAGAAACATCTGACCTGCATGTGGACCTGAGAACAAGCGCTTTGACGGGAAATGTGCGTGTGGGGTGTGGATATGGGGAGAAAGTGGGTGGAATGGGTGAGGGTGAAGTGAATGAAGAGGGAATGGGGTGGGGAGCTTGAAAGCTGGAATGCTGAGCAGGGGGAGATGCTTGCTTGGAAGGGGAGGCTTGTTGAAGTGCCTTGCTGTGCCTTCCTCCTCTGTCCCCCTACTTGTGAGTGTTTAGGAATGAGGTCATCATGCATGTTAACCAATGGCCACCACACCTCGGGCATCCAAGTATGAGTGGGTGTACGTGTCTGGAGCTCTAGGTTCTCTTGGGACAGAGCAAAGAAATAATTGACTTGGTGTCCCTGCAGAATCAGATCTGCATTGCTCTAGTCATGGCTCTATGCTGGGATTTGTTGTCTCAAGTTGTAGGAAAAGATTTGTTCTTTCAGCCTCCCAAGGTCTTTAACTTCACAAGAACTTCAGCTTCATGAATGGAGGCAAATATCTCTCCCTGTAGATGAGGTTGCACAGCCCTTTTGCAATATTCTGTAATATTCTGTTTTCAATTGAGTATAGGTTTGCCAAACTGTAACCTCTTTGCTAAAATAGCTCCTACCAGTGTCTGTGCTTCTGCATGACTTGAGATGAATTGATTAGTTGCTTTTTGGGGAGCTGAATTTCAGCCAAGATGATTCAGCTGTTCCTGAGAATTAGGCTGGGAAAAGGGTTTTACCTTTATCCCTGTTGGAATGCTCTGTAACCAACTTTTTAGTAAACCTTTCATGATTCCATACGTTGAAGCACAGACTTGACACTTGGCCAGGGTGTGCCCTTAGGGAAAGCTGTGTGCCTATTTCCATTCCTTTGAAAAATCTGTTGAAATCTGACCACGTTATGAACCAACAAATGCCATTGACTTAGGCTCCTTGCATCTTAATTACCTGAAGAATCCCTCTTGACTGTGTGTCAGAAACTCCTAGAATAAGGACCAGCTGGAAAGGCAAGGGCAGGAGGGGTTCTTCATTGAAAACAGGGCTAGGGAGAGTTTCCATAATAGAAAAAAAATTATTAGTAGCCACTCACAGTTTCTTTGTTGCTTGGAACAGTCTGTGAAACCTCTGGCTACTTTGCCCCCCTTCCAGCTTGGCCAGTGTGTACCACACAGAGGAATATGATATTCTATGATTACAGCCTTAGTTCAGGTGTTGCAAATCTATTAGTCACAACCCATGCAAGTGTCAGTATGCCACCATGCAGCAAAATCCTTATCTGTACAATCTACAACTAAATGAGCTGCAGCAGAATTCCTTCCCCCATCTGCTTCCCCAGTATTAAAAGACTATGACTTAACGTCAGGCACTTATTTTAGAATCTAGCAGAATTAAGGATGCCCGATTGTTTTTTTTGTTTTCCTGTGTCTCAGGCAAAGTATATCTGTGCAGTAGGAATTTAGTGAGTAGCCTGCTGAACAGTAATGCTGCTGCATTGTGTTGGACTGCAAATGACTCAGCAAAGATGCTTCTCAGCAGCTTGTAGAGGCTTCAGGTATCTTTATTGTGTGTCTGCGCAGTGAAGCAAAGAGATAAGAGGCCCACTGATCTGTGCTGGTTGGCATAACTCCTCTTAGGCCTGGCTCAGACCTCTCTCTTTCTCCTCTCTCTATTCCTTTATTTCTCCACTTTCTTCAGTGACAGCACCCCAGCGAAAGCAAATAAAAGCCCCTCACCTCCACCAGATGGATCTCCCATCACCAGCCCTGAGACCAAGACTGTCAACCATGAGCTGGAACCGTCCACTTTGGAAGCACCCGGGGCAAGCATCCCAAAGTCACCATCTCAGGTAGTGTCCCCATGCCATTGATCATGTCTTTGCAGTATGACCGCTGATGACACAGGCTCTGAGAGTCAAGGACATCCATTGTTTGCTTTGTTGGACCTCTGCTTGCTACTGAGCACAGAGAATATGACATGATAATTGTTCTCCTTCACTGATTCCTGAAAGGTTCCTGAGAATGCAAGTTGCTCATTTGTCATCTATAGATCATATCAGGAAGAACTAAGTTGTTTCTGAATGCCTCTACAGGGGGAAGACCAGTAATACCTTTTGCTGTCCGGCACAGCCAGGAAGATCCAGGGAGGAGGGAGTTGTAACTAGGCGAGGAAGTTTGTTCTTTACATTCGAATTAACCTGTAGAATTCAGTGGTCCAGTTTCTTTTCAAGAACTTCGGTAACTGAGGAAAGTTCAAAGAAAAAAGTTTAATAGGGATAAGGAGAACATCTGTACTTTGAATGATATTTTACTTTAACCCCAAGATAAAATATTATGCTAAAAATAAAGGCTTTAGATTTTTATGCTATAAATTAGGTGGGTACCAGGAAGGAGACTATCTGTTATATGGGGTCTGATACCTTCCATGTGGCCTTTGCTAGTCCTTTCTTTACACAGGAGATACTCAGTGACATGTTTAAAATAGTAGATGTAACTCCTGCTACTCAGCATATCATATATGTTTTACTTTGGGATTTAAGGAAAATAACACATTTACTTCCTCTTCCCGTCTGAGTGGGGAAAAGATTAGTAGGGAAAAGTGGGAACTAGGCCAAATTTGTTTGGTGCCATTCCTTGGCATTTCAGTGGGACACTTGGGAGGAATCTTCCGGGAAGAATTAAAGCTGAGACGGGTTCTGACCAAACTGGTAAGAGAAAACCTGTAACTTCTGAAAAGAGATGGGTGAAACTCAGAACTTCCTTGCTGTTATATATAGCAATGTGATTCCAAATCCAGGCCTGTGGTGTAGGCTCTCTCCTGTTTCTGGACTGCTGCTCACAATATTTTTCTCTCCACTGCATTTTTGATTTTCAGGATTATCTAGGAACAAAAAGGAGATGTTTGTACATTGGATAAAGGGTCTTTTCCAGCCCTGTGAGATGTATGAGTGCCTGGCAGTGTCTTTTCAGGACTTCTCCAGAGTGGCTTCATCACTGCCCTGCCTAGGACTTTGGAGTAGCATATGTGTGTGGAGGAGGGAGGATAGTGCATCCAGAATTGCCTTCCCATTTTCTCAGAGATTGCCATAACTTGATTGAAATTTGGAACAAGAAATCATACAAATTTATTGAGCTGTTCACTTGCAGACTTCACTTACCCTGCCTGTGGACTTGTCTTGCTGAGTTTGGCTTCTTCCCGTTCATTTAAGTGGCACATATAAGCCGTGTTTTTGCCAGCCTGCAAGTGCATTTTCATTCACTTGCTGCCTTCCTGCCCACAGGAATGGGGCTGGAGGCACCTTTTGTCGAGCAAGCAGAATATTCCAGTGCAGCCCTGGCTGGAGCCTCAGATGGGCCGCAGGCAAGACTGAAATAGTATTTGCAGCTAATGCTGCCACCAGCTGGCAGCTCTTCCCCAATTTGTATGAAATTCATGCTCCCGGGCCTCACTACAGTGAAAAACGAACTCCACTCCCTATTCGTGCTAGGTGCTGAGAGATGGAGGGAAGTCAAGGGCAGGGGTTTCATACTCAGAGCCAAGCCTGTGTCTGTATGGATAAAGTCTAGAAACTAAGTATGTGCCAGCTTGCCAGTCAGCTGGAAAACACGAATGTCTACTCTTAGTAGTAGTCTCGACTACTACTAAAACAGTGGTCGCCTTTAATACTGAAGATGTGGGTAACTGAGTTGTTCTAGGGTCCTTCTAGGGAGGCTAAGGGCCTCATCCTCTGGGGGAGGATGGAGCGAAAAGCAACAAGCTAGTACAATTCTCTGGCCTCTTCCTCTGCAAACAATAAGCAAAGGCTGTGGAATGAAAGACAACAAAATAGGAGAGACCAAATAAATACTAAGTTTTGAACTGTTCCCTATGCCAAAAAAAGCTCTTTTACTGTGATTTAGTTCTCAAAAGCAGCTTATTTCTGTCTTTTGGAAGAAGCTCTCCGCACTGAGTAATTTGATGATGACACAGGACTTCAGGGGTCTGTGGAATTTCAAAGGTCAGACTTTTGCTCTCAGTTACATCACTGAAACATTGTAATGACACTTTTGAAATTGCTCAACTATGTTGAATTTAGACAGGTAAAACTGTGGGATCCACATCAGCAGAAAAATTGTAGAGGATTTGTTTTATTCTAGGTGATGAAGTTGTTTGTGAATTTCTAGGTATAGCCCAACATCAATATGCAGTCCTGTTGTCTTTGGAATGTGGTTTTAGACTGCTGGACACTGTGAAAGTGGTGGTTTCCCAAAACACTAATGCACTGGAAGAAAGGAGACCGACTATTTTAGAGAAATAAATAGCAGAAGAGTTGGGATCTTTTTGACTTCAGAGTTTGTAATTAGGTAATTGAGAATATCTTTTCCCTGAAATTTCTGGTCCCTTCTTGCAACTGTCAAGCAGGTGATTTTCAGGAAGGGATTGTTCTCAGGGAATATGGACGCACCACCTTCTGCCAACAGTGAAAAGTCAGAAGTGAACACACTACTTTCATTATTTCTCCCTGCCAGCTATTCAGTGGAAAATGTGTTTGCATACTCACTCACACTCTCTATAAAGTGTGTTAACCCAGTAGAAAACTGGGCATATCCTTAGCAGTCAGAATAAATGCCTTTGTAGAGCTCAGTTATATGCTGAAGGAGTGTGAACAGAGGACTAGGAATTGGGGATAGCTGTGTTTCATATCTGGGCCTGACACTGATGTACTGGGTGCCCATTGTCAGGTCTTGCTACCTTGGGATCCTAGGTATAATGAGAAAATCAAGTAACTGTAAAACATTACTGTAAATGGAAAGCATTGTTATTGCTGAGCATTGCTGTGGTGCTGGGAACTTGTATGGCTGCTTTGTTCCAACACAGCAGCAGCTCATCCAAGTTTTTGATTTGATCTGGAAATAATCACTGAGCACTGGGCACAGGAAGATGTGACAAGAATATGGGTGGGTTGATCTAGGGAGGATCTACCACAGCTTCCCGTGGGGTTCTGGATGCAGTGTCGGGCTGAGTCTTCTAGCATGATGGTGGGTATTAGGATGGGTTAGAGTTATGGGGTCAGACTTTGTTACGTATTCTCTGGGATCTCCATTTGGGAAACACAGCTTCATTAGTGTCAACGCTCATTGGTGAAACTGAGAGCAGAGTTGGGCCCACAGCAGTCATAGCTTCTCAGGAGTTTGAATTGTTCTTGCCTAAAGCTGAGAAGCAGTAAGATGGTATCAAAAGGTCCTTCAGACATTTCTTATGGTACACTGGTAACCTGTGCACCAGGGAACCAGTACTGGGCAGATCAGAGTCTGCTCTCATGGTCACCTACCCATAATAGGACAAACTGAGTCTGGTCTTTCATTCCCTTAGGTATGGTAAGTATGGCAAAAGGAGGCAGTACTGACCTGGTCTATTGAATTGTGTTCCCAGTAACTGATATGCTCCCCTTCCCAGTGGTTCTTTTGAAGGTTGCACATGCTTTAATTATGTATGCATGTCTTGTCAATGCATATTAATTGTGTTACGCTTCTCCTCTGCAGAGGGAAACTTGCCTACAGCTGAAGTGTAACTAATGATGCCAAACCTTCTCTGGAGGCGTGTGATTGTTTTTTTGTTTTATTTCAATTCAGCCCTTCAACCTCCCTTCCTCTCTCTTCAGATGGAGTTAATTGGACCCTGCTCTGTGCCTGTGGTTGTGATTTCCCTCACCTTCAGTTTTTGTGGCTAACCTGGTTCCTGTCTCTGGTTTTTTTGGGTGTCGCCGTCTGTGCTGTGGCTGTGTGCTCATTTGCATGCAGTTGAGGAAAGGGCCTCCGGTGCCTCCGCCTCCAAAAGTCACCCCCTCCAAGGAGATCAAGCAGGAGAACATCATCAGTCTGTTTGATGACAATTTTGTCCCTGAGATAAGTGTGACAACCCCTTCGCAGGTTAGCTGCTAATGCCCTGCCTTATATTTGTCTGCTTCTGAACTTTTTCTTTTGACCTCTTTTCTCTTTGGGGGTGTCAAGCCCTGAAACCTGGTCAGGTGAAGGATGAAGGCAAGGTCAGCATTGGAACTTAGAAGGCAGAGGGTTAGATAGGAGGCTAACTTAGAGGGGAGGGTGGCTAGAAGGCAGCTTTGACTAACATGTTGCCTTTGAGAGCTTTCATTCATAGAAGAAACAGGAGAAATGCAACTGGTGAAGATCCAGAAGGTAATCACTCCATCTGTTCAGCAGCAGTGCACATGGATTATGAGGGCTCCCCTCATATTCCATGATATGTTCTCTCCAGACTCATTGATCCTGGGTGTGAATGAAGCACATGTTTTCTGCTTGTGCACATCCCCAAGTGCTGAACCTGGCATCTGTGCCAGTTCTGGGAGGAGGTAGTTTTGTGTCTCTGTGCCTTCACACATGGGCTTTGTGGTTTAAAGCCCACACCTGCACAGGAAAGACCAATAGGAATTGCATAAAGTTCTCTTTGCAGAGAATAGGTGCCTCCAGTTTAGATGGGCAGGATTGTGCCTGCTGTGAATTCAGGACTGCTGACAGAGTCTGTCACTCTTCACCAGCAAGTGGTTCCCATCAAAATTTTTGTCATGTGGCACCTTCTGAAGCGCTGAAAAAAGAAAAACATTTTCAAATTATATATTTAGCTCTTCACTTTCATTTGATTTACATCACTGCAAGAGAGGATGTCCAGGTGGGGAATTCTGTGTTGGATCTGGGAAGATGTCAGTTCTTATGTATATAGGAGCCTGACCAGATTTCTGGCTGTATCATGAGATACCTGCTTTTTTTATATATATACGTATATATATATATTTTAATTTTTTTCCTAAATGCTTGTTGAAGCACAAATAATATTTTAATCACTACTCATCTGTGACTCATTCCCTAACTTTTCCTTGCATCATGCTGCTCCATTGCCTCTGGTTTGCCACCTTCCACCCAGCTGCTGAGGAGCAGAGGTGGAGTGGGGAGGGAAGTTGATGTCAGATATTGAATTGCAGCAGATAAAGCTTACAGAGCAGAGAGATGATTTGACAGCAGTGTTGGAAGGTGGGGACCACAGGCAGCTGAGCAACTCTTATCATTTTCTATGCTTCCTTCTCCTGTATCATAATGGACAGCTCTGTCTGCTCCATGGTTTGTATCATGTATTTCCATGTGAACGCCAGCCCTTAGTCAGGCGTACTCTTCTGCACCTGATCAGTGCTCCGACCCAGGATGGGATCTGCTGTGACTTTCAATCAGATGGGAGTTCTGAGGGAGGATGCTGATTGCCAGAACAATCTTCACTGAAGCACCCAACAGCCACTAGCATTCAGTGTGTTGCCAAGGGCCATTCCTATCAAATGTCTTAGCTCCAGTGAGCTGTCTTGTGAGAGATCTGGGTTAAAGGCAAGGGATGCTGGCCCTTGCATGTAAGTCTTGAATGGCAGGTAAGATTATTCCATGACTGAAGCCTTGTATGTCGCATTACCAAACAAAACTAAAGATCAGGGTTGGAGCCTCTCTGATGAGTAGCCTGGATGTGCTGAAGGAGCGTACTAGAATGACAGTTTGATTTTCCTTACTGGCCAGGGTTTATTATTGTGAGATTGGAGCGCTTGATTCCTTGACCTCATCCCTGTGGATTTCAGATATGTTAATAAGGGAGAGAAGAATTTGTAAGAAAATTGGAATAAGAGGAAACTAGAGGAGGTGAAAATGGTGGTGGTGTGGTTTGTATTCGGAGGACTGTCTCTTAAATGGTGTCTCTTTCTATACCAAATGGAGTTTTGCCATTGTGGGGCTACGATATAACTGTGGAGACCACCCTGCCACACTTTGTGTGTGTTGGAAAGGTAGCTGAAGCAGTTGGGTCAGTGAGCTGGGAGGTCAGTGGAAACAGGCAAGTCTTCCCAGAGAGAGCAGCTTCCTCTGACGTTGAGTAGAAGGAAGTGTATAAAACCAAAAGTGATAGTTCAGTTTTGAATACTAATGAGTCGTGTCCTGTGTAGTGACTGCTTCATTAATGTTGATGTGCTATTGCTGTCTTTAGGGAGCGTGTTAATCAGCCAAAGGGAGTTATTCTGCTGACTTTGAAGAGAGTAGCAAACCCCTTCAGTTTTATACTTTTTTAGAAGATTTATGTGTATATGTTTCTGGGATGTCCAGAAATGGAAACCATTAAAACCAGCTTTTTTTAGATTGGGGAGTGATTTAAATTGCTTAGGTTTAGTCTTAGATTTATCTTAGAAGGCAGGGGGGAATTGGAAGCTTTGGGGGTTAGCTCTGAGGTCTCTCAGACTTGCCTTCTAGCAGTTTGAGTGGTTTTCTGCCTGGATCTGTGTTCCTGAGATGAGTTGTATAGATGGCAGCTCTTATGTACGTGGCTGAGGGAGTCTGTCCTGGACCTTCAGTACAAAGGCAGATGGATGAGCTATGGGGAATCCCTTCATCATGGGAGAAGCCCTTCTGAGTCATCTGTAGCAGTGATCCTTTTGACCACAGCAGGTCAAGTGCTTACACCATGTCGGCTCATCTGGCCAGTTGGGAAGATAAATGATTCCTGTGGAAAAGGCTCAGGTTTGGTTTACAGTGGCACCTGTATGAACTGCCCTTGATTATAGGCACCAAGCAGTCAGGAGTCATGTCAGGTGTTTGCATTGCCACCATGTCTTCTGCGCTTGCAACCTTAGCTCCTGGATATCACATACCCTTCCTCTACTGTGCGTGCGTGTGTGTCTAATGCTCGTACTGCTTTTCTTCCTCACTGCTGCCAAGTTTGATGCCCCTGGGCCCTTCCAGGAGGGAGCCAGCCTATTGGATCTGGATTTTGATCCCATTAAACCAGATGCCACTGTGGGGAAGACCCCCACACCCGCCTCCCAGGTTGGTTCATATCACCATTCCTTCTCCCTTCATAACTGACTTGTGGTCAAGTGTAGTGTGACCTACACCTATGTGAATGATATGTGGGCCTGAGCTGTGGGTGGCTGGGCTGGGTGCCCAGACCTGCGCCTTGCAGATGGGCACCTTGGTCTTCTCTGCTGGATGTGTCAGTCCAGTGAGAATCAGGTGGCTATTACCCTGGCTACAGTCTGGCACTAGGGTGTTCATGGGATGCTTGTGCTTTGCTCTGATGATCTAGTGATTGACAACTATTCAACTTAATGTATGTCCCTCCCTCGATTCGCATTCTCTCTATGCTGTATGGATTTAAACTGTTACCGTGTGGATGGGAATTCAGCCTCAGTTCTGTGCTCCTGCTAGAAATTGCTCCTAAAGGGATTTTTAATGAATAGACACTCTGATCTGCAATTGCTTAAGGTGAATAAAGCTGTAGACAGATACTCAAGTAATGTGAAGCCCTCCTTTTTCTGGGTTTAACGTAGCCTTAGTTCTTAGTGAAGAAGTAGTTTACTCCCTGAGCATAGTGTTGTGGAGTGCAGTATCAAAAAAGGAAGATGCCTAATTCTGGTCTGTCCTGTACCTGGTCCTGTTCACTGCTGGAGGCAGGTGCACTGTGCTTCACTGTATGTCTAAATGGCTGGTGGCTTTGAAGTGCATTTTGAATTTGGCTGTTGTCCTCACTGAGGTGTTCCATGTCATATGAAATGGTAATTTTTTGCATGTGGTTGCCATTAAAATTTGTAATAAATGTAATTGGGATGTTTATAGTATTTATCTGGTATCATCATGTCAAGTAAGCCTGTATGTCACAGATTTTGTAGCCATAAGATCTCTCTTATTAGGGAGATCAAACATTAGGCACTTGATTTTTCTGACTTAGAATACTGTATCTGAAAGATGCTAATTATTATCATAGTTTGATACACACCCATATGACAAGCTACCACTTTCTGGAACTTTAAGTGAGCAGGTTGGCATTTCATGTCTGCTTGCTTGACAGAACAAGTTGCATGTCAGGATAAGCCTTTTAATTTATTTACTGGGATTTTTTTTTTTTCCTGAATCACCAGTCATAACTTGGATAATTCGGTATACTGGCATAGCATGATATGAGTATAAATTTGACTTCAAATAGAATTATTTTTTGCCCTTCCAGCAAGCAACAAATATTACACTGTTTTTAAAACTTCACAGCAATAGCATATTTGGTGTTCTAATGTATTTCTTATTAGGTTCAGAAGTCATTAAGAGTCTGAAATCCATGCTTTCTAATGGTAACCATATCACAAAACCTATCAAAACCCACCTAGTTTTCAAAGCAGTCAAATTTATTTCCTATATGGTAGGCGCTGTGGCAAAGGGGTTAAGAGATTTCACTACTGATCTAAAGACACCAGTTGAAGCTTTGTTATGAAATCATACTAACTATTGGGTGTGGATATATGAGAGCCTATTTAAGCCAGGTGGACCGCAAGTTTTTTTGTCTGGCTATGTGGTTTGCCACTGATAACTATATGGCTTGGCTGTCTCCTTTCACACCAGAGGTGGAAAAAACCCTTTACTCAACTGCCTTGGTACTTAAGTTTGAATATGCAGTGGGGATGGGTGTATAAATTCAGGTACTAAAAAAATAGTGTAAAAACATGCAGAGATAAGTGCTGTTGAATGTGTATGTCTGCTTCAGTCTGATCAGCATCTGTAATGTTTGTACTCACTGAAATAATCATATATAAACATGTTTATTTTTGTTGCTCTTTGACATGCTTAGTCTTTACCTTGGGATTTATGGGAGGTAAGAACTTCATATGGCTTTCATCTCTCATCATGTACTGTGCATGTGCCAGTGCCATCTCTGTGTGCATACCTATCTCCTTCATCTTTTTGTACACCCCAAACCAAAGTTGTTCCATGTGCTGCTGAACCCACTTCTGCATCTTCTATGAAGCCCCAGGGGCAGCCAAATGTTTGCAAATCAGGTCTGGCACTCTGAAACTCATGTCTTCACCAGTGCACATTGCCTTTCCCTGCTAATTTGCTCATCTGTCCTTTGGCATGATGCTGTGACGCTCTCCTCGAACTTAATCCCATAATGACATCATCCTTATCCTCTACTCACCCCTGTTTCCTAAACTCTGTACATCCTGTTTGTCTTGTGTGTGATGCATAAATGTCTCGGCTGCATCTTGTCTCTACCTGTTGTGCCTGTACCATTGGATGGGTAAACATATGTGTTTGGAATTATCTGTGGTCTTTGCTGTTTATTGACCACTGTTGCCAGAAGGGCTGATGTGAAATAGCTCAGCCTGTGTCTACACTGAAAGTTAAGTGCAGGCCCAAGACTTAGTTGGCATCTGCCTGAACCTCAGCTTTGGAGCCTGCTGACAAGGGAGACCCTAAATGTGCTCTGCATCTGAACCAAAGCCAGACCCTCATTTATGCCCTCTAGACAAGTGGGCCTGGGAAGGTCTCAGATTGCTGCAGATTAGCCCATTGGGAGATATTTCAAACACAGCTGCTTTGGAGTACCTCTGGACATACAGCCAGCAGTGTGGACAGAAAGCACTTGTTCTGGGTACTCATGCCTGCTACTTGAGCTGGCTATATCCCATGGTGTACATGTAAACACATGTCCTTGGCTTATGGTGGGGAATCGAGTTCTGCCAACCTTTCAGATTTCAAGAGCCAGATCACCACCTAGAGTCAGTACTTGGGAGGACATGGCCTAACCCTTGCTGAGAGCCTGGCCCAGGGACTCACTGTGGCCAGTGCTAGTCTTCATATGATCTTGGGTCACGTCAAGAAAGATGTTTTCCTTGTATGTTTTATCAGCCATCAGTGTTTAACATCTGCCATTCCCATGTATGTGCATTGTCAGTCTGTCTTAGTAAGAAAGAAAGGAAATCTGTGTTTTTGCAAGGAAGGTTCTCATGTCTTTCAGATGGATGGGTAGGGATGAGGTATGACCGTATCTGGCTGAGCTGTGCTTAGTCTGGCATGTAAAAAATGGTTTGGGCCATTTCTCCCATCCTGAAAACTGATCTCACCCAAAGGACAATTTAATCAACTGGGGAATGCTACTAGACAACATGTTCTTACCATACCATTTTTCACCTTGGCATATACTACATGGTTAAAGAGCAGAGCTCCCTATAGCTGGGGAATCCTCTTGCACTTCAAGTCTTCTGAATTGTTTCAGTTCTAATGTTGTTCTTAGCTGTTGATGAGAGGAGACTTGTGGCACGGTTACATAGTCTCGTATGCCATGAGGTTAACAACTGCATAGAAATTTGGTTGCAGTAAAACTTGCTTAGTTCTGCAGCTTGGAAAACTTGCATTTGGTGTGCATGAAGCTGCTGTTGGAATAAGTAGATCTTTCAAAACTGGCAACAGCAGTGAACAATTCTTCCTATTCTCCCTATAGGATTTTTCCATGACTGTAAATGCTTTTATAGGCCTTGGGATGCCTGCAGGTACATAAAATAGAAAAATAAGTAGCTGACATGAAAAAACCCTTTGTTGAAATCCAGGGGATTAATTTACATTCAGTTTCCCTGGCTATTAAATACTGGTTTTGCAAATTAGCTGGTTTTAAAAAAGGACCTCACATTAAGCTCTTTTTTACTTGTCCACGTAAAAACTATGCATCTGTCCCAGTTCCAGTTCCACTGAATCCAAATAAAAGGAGTGAATCTAATTAAACATGAGAAACCTTTGTAGTATTTCATGTGCATACATTTACCTTAACACTACCAAAGCTGCTGTGGGAAAACTCTGCAGTATGGGAACAGCTTTGCTGTCTATAATATCCTCTGGCAGTGTAGGCCTGTGGACATGGTGGTGGGGAGACATGAGCAAGGATGTGATAGAAGAGGAAAGCATGTGTTAAATGGCACAGTTGAAGCTGCTGAAGGTAAACTAATGGCTTTTTGTTAAACCAAGGATTTACTACTTTGTTATTGCTACTGTTAGTAGAAAATTACTTGCAGCATTGTGCCACTACATGGCTAGTAGCCAGATGGGTGTAGAGTTAAGGGTTGCCATGGTCATGGCTTTACACTGGTCTTTTGTAGTGTTGGGACTATGAGAATCACAATATCAAGGAATCTGGACAATGCCTGTTTTGAACATGGTTATATTCAGGGGTACGTGTGTTTACCAAATGTATGAGGCATGTAGGCATGCCAAAGCTGGTTTATTCATAGGTATTAAAAATGGGAAATCTCTGTATAGCAGTCTCTATTGTGCAAGTATAAAGTGGGTATCTGGTTAGATTCATCTGGCCGTGAAGACACTTGGACTGCAAATGAGACCCCTGAGATTCTTGTCAGGAGTCTTCCCAGGTGCTGCCTGCCCAGTCTCTCAAGGGGCTGATCTGCAGCACTGATGCTATTAGATGAAACTTGTCCTGCATTGTTGCAGTTTCTGGAAGGGGCAAATTTAATTTTGTGTTAAAATGGGGTTACCCTGACTTCAGGCAAGGGAGGATAAAGCTAGAACCACTGGAAGTGTATCAGAGGTGTTTAGTTGGTCTTTTGTTTTGCACAGAAGCTGCCGTCCCCAGGCTTCCTAAAACAGTCTCTGCCAGGCAGCGTTTTGTAGGCGATGCTGAAAATTTCTTCCTAATGGTAGTAGCTTTTGTGCAGTAAACTCCCCTCTCTACCAACACAAATATGTGCATGTGTGTACACACCATGCGGAATGTTCATAGCAAATTCTTAGTAATAGAATATTCACAGTAGAAACCAAATTCAGGACTCGGGGCCTATCCAAACTCAAGCTGGGTGACAGCACAGTTTTCAGTCAGCTTAGTTCAGTGCTAATGTTGTGTAGATGCTGGGTCCAGACTAAGTTCCATACCTGGACACATTATTACCATGCTTTTCGGTTTCTGGGAGTATTCAGAGGCTTAAATATTCCTTGATTCTTGGAAATAGCCTGTTGAGAGATCCTTGTGCCTTTGCATGTGAGCAGTGTTGTATTCACAAACAAATGGGCAATTTATATGTAATAATAGATACTATGCCTGTGTAAAGTAGGTCTGCGATTCAGATTGTGAAAAAAGGGCTGCACAGGATTTTTGGCGTTTCATCAGTTTCCTCTGGAGTACTGCCTGCTGCGTGGCTGGAGTGAGGGAATGCAAGTTTTACTGTGATTTCACTGGATTGCAGAGAAAGGGAGACAGAAACATAGCAAGACCCTGAGGTTTCTCACCTATTTGTCAGCAGATGGCATCAGTCAACAGCATAGAGCGCTTGGACAGTCTTGAGTTGCACTTTTCTGCATTACACTTATCTGTTACGGGTATAACTCTCCACCTGGATGACTTTTGTATTGCAGCCTGCAGAAGCAGCCCATGCAAGAGCTGAAGCAGCTGGATCAGAAGCAGCAGCTGGAGCTGAAGCAACTAAAAATGAAGCTGATGCAGGATCGGTAAGCACGTCAAGGGACTGTAGTCCCGTTTCTCTATCACATCCCTTTGTCATGCAGATGTGGGAGTCTGGACTAGGAAAACAGATGTGTGGCTGATTCGAAAAACACATCCCTGCCATCCCAACAGTTACAGTGCTCTTATTCAGGGGCCAGATTTAGCTGTTGCATTTCATCTGTGTAATGCTTAGGGAGAAGCTCTGCTGGAAGATCCACCAAAGAACTGTCCCTTCACCCATGTGGTGAAGAGATCCCAAAGCCCATCCTGTGTTAAACTTGCTTTGTCTACCAGATTCCTCCTTGCTTGCTATTTACCTACTCTGGGCTCTGCTGGTGTCCCCTGAATATCCAGGGTTCCTCTTTTTTTCCTGACACTGCCACGTTTTTAGGGGACTGGAGTAGGTCCCATCATACGGCTGCTTGGTTCCTATAGGCTGTCTCAGTTCAGTTCCACAAGGACTCTACAAGAAGCTGCCATGTTGTGACCACAGTGAATGGGAGATGCTGGGCATTATGGTTTGAGAAAAACTAAATCCTGTCTGCCCTTCTGCAGCCTTAAGCAAAGGAAGACAGTGGTTATCTCTCCTGCCTTCTCACTGCTGCCTCTGCTGTCCTTTGCAGTGTTTTTGTCACTGACTAGTGTGCTGGGAAAACCCACTGAAGCCATGGGTAGGGTTGGGATGTGGATCCTTCACGGTGGGTTTGGAGCTGCAATTTTGGATTCTCTTTCCTCAATGACTTTTTTTCTTTCCCTGACTGCTGCTGCCTACCAGAGCTCTCTGCCTGCTGTTGTTGTGGAAACTTTCCCTGCTACCGTCAATGGCACTGTGGAAGGAGGCACTTCATCTGAAAGAGCTGACATGCCCCCAGGTTTTCTGTTCAAGGTGAGTGCACGGTGGTGGGGGGCAGAGTTCCTGATGATTTTTTCCTGTAATGAATTAACTACTTTCGCTCAGCATGGCCGTGGGCTGTGCCACATTGAAAGGGAGAAAGGAGGTTGAACGAGAGATACAGCTTCCTCTCCAGTAGCCCAGTTTCATGCAGTTCCAGATGTTTCAAAGGACTGTATAAGAGCATTGGTGTCTAAATGTCTGGCTGTGCTGTGTAGCAAAACCCCTCCTTCTCTCTGCTGCAGTTATTTCTGTCTCTGATGGTGTGGTATAGTGTCAGTCACAGACTCTGGGTAGTAGCTAAGAAGTTGTGCTCTGAACTGGAAAGGTTAAACTTTGATACAAGTAGGAAGGGAAGAAGAGTTGGGAACACCAGTAGGTACCGAGGACTTAATGTTTGGGGAAATGAGAAAGCCAGGATGAACACAGAAAAATACAGGATTGGGCAGGTGGGTATTCTGAATATGCCAAAGACCACTTGCAGCTTGTTTCGAAGGAGTGGAGGAAGGATTGATTCTGGGTGAGAGTAGGCCACAAATTTAACATGCATAATGGAATATGGTAGCAAGACAGCACAGATGCATCATGCCCTGAAAGTGAGAGATGACTGTCTCCTGCTATAGGAATGCTTTTGTTCTGCTTTAGTCATATCCATGCATCTTTTTTTTTTCTGGGAGTTTTACCAAAAGCAGAAGAATGACAAAACCCTGAAGAACAGTAAGACTCATCACATTTAGGCTGGTTACAGACAGCATTATGGACGGTACTGCTCAAAGTGGATAGCTGTGGTTTGAAGTAGAAAAGCTGTAATGCAGATGTTGATATGAATTAGACAGAATACCTAAGAGAAAACTTGTCAGGATACAATCACTCGAAGATTCAAACTGATACTCTTCCCTATGTTTCCTCTCTGCTGCAAAAAGAGTACAGGGCACCCTTTGAGTGAATACATGCTTTCTACCCTGTGAGGTTTTTAGGCCCAAACCATGGGAATTTAACCCTCCTAAGGAAGGATGGGGAAGTGCACAACAAGTTGAATGAGACTCACCAGGATGCCCTTGTGGCAAAGGCGAGCTGCCTGCCAGGCTGTATGAAAAAGCATGTAGCCATTTGATTAAGGGAAGTGGTTATTCCCATACATGTGGCATTTGTGATCCAGGCTTGACCTGCCTGGAGCAGCAGGTTGGATCAGATGGCCTCCAAAGGTGCCTTCCAACCTGAATCATCCAGTGAATCAATGAAGTGGAAAGCCTTGTCACCCATTACAGAGCTGGGTGAGAGAGTGCTGGCCTCACCCAAGCTCTGCTCTCCTCTCCCCATAGGTCCAGGCCATGCATGATTACACGGCCACTGACAGTGATGAGCTGCAGCTGAAGGCTGGGGATGTGGTGCTTGTGATTCCATTTGAGAACCCTGAGGAGCAGGTAAGTAGGGAAGACAGGATGTGATCCTGGGCCAGGAAGAGCCGAGGGGATTTCCAGAGCTGCTTCTTCCTCCACTAACAGTCAGCTGGCTGGATGCAGAGCCATCAGTTTGTGGCTGGGAGCTGGTGGGACAGCCGGTTGTCCTTGAGCTTGAGATTGGCTTCCTGCAACAAAGGGGAGGACTCTGCTTGTGACTGGAAAGTAGAGACATTATCCCGCATAAAGCATGTGAAATAGCCATGGCTTCCTGTCCCTGTCAGGGCACTTGAGCCAATACAATGGCTTGATCAGGGAGCCCAACAGAGCCCATACTTTGCCTCTGCAGTGCTCCTAAACTTGATGCACATTCCCTGTGACCACTGCAGTGCAGGCTGTGGCACTGGCAGGAGTGACCCTCATCTTATGATGATATTTTCTCCCTTTTTGAGAAATGCTGGAGCTCTGAGAAAGTAGCTTGCCGTGGATGATGTCTTGCACTTAAGCATAGCTACAATGGCTATTTCCAAAAGACAATGTTTGGTCAGGAGATGGCAGCAGAACCAAAGCTGAAGCAGGTTGCTCAGCCCAGAGAACAGTCTTACTCTTCATCTCCAACCTGAATTTAATTGGCAATGTTTTTCTTTAATCTGATCTATCTCTAGAAGCCTTGAGTAAATCCTCACTTGCTGTGTTTGAGGGCTTCCAGCTGATAAAGTCTGCAGCAGTTTTACTACTTTGGATGAGGCAGGTGGCGATTTTATAAATTCATGCTCACACCTCCAGGTTTTTGTTTGGAAAAGGAAGGGAATTCTCCAAATCGAGTCGGTTGTCACCAGCTCTTTGGGTTTGGGCAAGTCCAGACAAGACCTGGAGATTCCACAAGGGATAAAGGGAAGGTGTAGTTCACTGGCCACAGAAGATGTGGATCCTCTTTGTGGCTCAGCTGTTGACTTTGTGAATTATGGAGGCAGATCTTGCTGCTGCTTGTGAAATGGGGAGGTATAATGTGGTGACAGCTCCCTCAGAGCTAGGTGTTCTGGGAGGAAAGGTTTTATGGGGAAGAGGCAGTGATTCCTTCTGGAGACAAGACTTCACTGAGTGGGACTGCCCTGCACAAGCATTTGTGAGCATTTCTTTCTCAGAAAGCTTTCTGGATGGGAAATGAGTGGCAGCTCCCCTAGTTTCTGTGGTGTGAGATGGCATTTGTGGAGCACAGTTTTTCAATGCCCTGTGTTTGCACTCTAGCTGGATGTGGGTGCAACAGCCATGAACTCGAGACTCTCCAAGCTGCAGAGGGTGAGCTCTGAGTGTTGCTAACATGATGCTGTAGCTGCACTGAAGCCCTCTAACCCTCCTACAGTGTATCCTGTGCTACAGCTCATTTCCCTAACCTTGACCAAACCCAGCCAAAAAACATTGGCTCTTAACATGTGCATGAACTGTGCACGTGAGTGGAGGAAGCTTAGGATAATAGACTGTGATCCATGTCCCCATCTTGCAGCTTAGGTGTCAGTTTGTGGGTACATCAGCCAGGCTTGGATTCATCTCTCTTGACAGAAGAAAGGGTTGAGAGCAGTAATGCTTCTAAGCTGGCACTTGAAGTGACATGGTTCAAAATTGGCAAGGGTCAATCTGGGTCCTCCTGTCTAATCCCTGTAGCTGAGGAGGCCCTTCGTAGCAGGATGCAGTGGGAGTGATGCATGCGGTATGGCACAGACGCTATGTGCAAATGGATGAGCTTTTGTGCTTGCAGTGCTGTGAGCTGGAAGCTGCCTTCCAGACACTTGGGCCCAGCATCTTCTGCCTAGTCGTTTGTCTTCCTGATTTATGGCATGTCAGTCCTTCCACAGCCCCTGCAGCTGGCTGCTGCAGATGGGCTCCTGTCTCATGCCATTCCCATGACATCCCCTGAATGCTCAAATCTAAGGCAGCAACGGGGGCTGACTGAGCCTGCAGGCACCCAGTACAGCCTGCAAGGAGCAGGGAACTCAAATACAATGGCTGGTCTGAGCTGCTGCCACATGAAATGTGCAGGAAACAGGACAAGAGGGCAGAAGCTGCAAACTGGCAGTGGAAAGCAGTACATGCCCCATGGATCACCCCTCGTGAGGGCTGCATTACTCCTGCACTGTGCAGATATGTTTTAAAGAACATGTTTCAAGGAAGGCATTACTTGGTCTTAGACAAATACCCATGTAACTTCTGTCAGTTCCAGAAAAGCAGAAGTGTCAGAACAACTGTGTGAACCACAAGCACTAATGCCTCATTTCACCACATTTTAGAGCATCTGGTTGCCTGAGGACTTCTGCCCTGGCAGGTTATGTAGTTGAATGTGATAACTTGTCTCTAAATGAGCCTGGTGCATGCTTTGCCCAGAGGAGTGGATGCAGAGCAGGCTGTTGAGTTTGGAGGCAGTGGTGCCCTGTGCGGTGTGCTCACCTCATGCTGCAGTCTTAACCAGAAGGCTGCCCCACTGCCAGTGACTCACGTGAGTGGGTATATTTGCATGCTGAAGGGGTGCTTCCATGCTCGCAGCTCTAAGGCATGCAGAGAGTACAGTGGTTGCACACCCAGTACAGCCTTCCCACCTTCAATATCTTGTCTTTCTCAAGTGCTTCAGGCAGAGCAGAAATCTTGATGCTAGACACCCTCCAGTCAGAGGGTGGGAAGTCTGGTTCTCCTCCTGAGAAGCTTCTACCAAGCAGGACTCCATTTGCTTCAGTAAAAATTCATCCCTCTTTATAGATGTATAGGTTTGGTGGCTACGGAGGACCACTATGAGAGACCTTGAGTCTTACATCGTGCGTAGCACAAGTTTGAGAGTTTTGCCAACCTCACCTTGCATCAAGCCCAACAGACTGCTTGGGCTTTGAGAAGGTGGGTTGAGCTCCTCAGCTCCCAACTCTCATAGACCAGAATTTCAGCATAGCAAACAAGACTCATTTTGCCTATGCTGTCTCTATAAAATGCTAATCATCTAGGTGCTCTGGCTGGAGCAGGGGATGAGCACCTCCAGGGAATGATTCATCCTTTCCAAAGACCTGTGCCTAAGATAAATTGGATGAATTGCACTGTGGAGGTGCCTGTCTCTTCTATGACTATGGAGAATGCTAGACTCCTCATGTTTAGATTGAAAGGTGAGATATGTGATTCTTGTCCTGTAGCTCTACAAACTTTCTTTGGCAGAATTTCTCCTGCTTCAGTGGGGGTAAATTGTGACATGTTTTTATTACACTTGCTAATTGTTTACAATTTCACTGCCTCTAGACACTCTGGGTCAGATAGGAGTTTTGGTACTGACTCTGGTGGGATGTAGCCTTCTCCCTGTTTAAAAGGGAGCAAAAGCATTTTTATCTTCTCCCCCATCATCTTCCTGGATTGTCTCCAAGCCAGATATGAGCATGGCTTTGATAATGTCTTGACACCTCCTTGGCCTGCACTCTCTAAAAAAACCTCCCTGCTCACATCTATCCCTCAGCATCTGATCTCTGTCTTCTCCTCCAGGACGAAGGATGGCTGATGGGCGTGAAGGAGTCCGACTGGATCCAGCATAAGGAACTTGACCAATGCCGAGGGGTTTTCCCAGAGAATTTCACAGAGCGAGTGCAGTGAAAGCCCAAGCCCCCCAGCTGCATTTCTGCTGGAAGAAAGCAAGTTTTCTGGTAGATAATTGGAAAAGAACAGCAAAATGAAGCGAAGAGAGAATTTTAAAGGAACAGAAGTCTGCGAAAACAGTCAATTTAAAGGGTGTGTTCTCAAAGGATGAGGTTTCAGAAGTAAATTGAAATTCGAAGTGTTACCAAAATATATATGTATTAATAATAAGGCAAGTCAAATACCCTCTCCCCCCTTTGGTTTTAACAGCATTTGGATTCAGAGGACTGATGCAGAAGCAACTCAGTGTAGTTCTCTAAATACTGCATTGACTGAATTGGCGAGATAGTCTGATCCCTGGAAAGGCAGTATTTGTCTAATAGCTTGAGAGTAGAAGCTGCATTTGCTCTTGGGTGGGTTCATCTGTTTTGTCTTGAAGGTGGCTTGCATGGCAACCATAAAAATTCAGCCTTCCCTATGTGTTCAACCTGAAATAGGCCAAATTTTCTGTTATGCTGTTTAAAAAAAAAAAAACAACTTAGTGTATAGTGTTCACCAATACAGTGTGTGTGTGTGTATTTTATTTTCTTCCTTTAAAACAATGTTACACAAACTGTGATTTTGTACATGTAAAGTTAAAAGAAACTATATGGAAAGGGCATGGAGAAGGTGAAGTGTGTGAAGCTGTGCTCAGTCCAAAGTTCTTTTGAATGCAGACACCTATATTCTCGCAGTAGTATTGGCCTGTGAAATGCTAAGGGGAGTGGACAAATTCAAGAGGTGAAACAAGACAAAACAAGCAGATGATATTTAGATGGCTCTGCAGTTTGGGAGAGGGAATTCTCTGCCCTCAAAATCCTGTAGGTGGTTTCAGAAAAGCTTAATTTGTGTAGATGGAAGGTAGCTCTAAAATCTGAGTGGTTAGAAAATCTGCTTTTAAAGAAAGAGATAAAGGAAGAATTGTTTGTTGTTTTTTTTTTCCTGAAAGAATGTCTAAGGAAAAACACTGAGGAAAAACCAATTTGCTTTCTGTGTTTTTAATTGGCATTGTTATTCGTGGAATTGTATTTCTTATTTTCCTTTGAAGACTTCTGTAAGTGAAATATTGTTAGATCAGCTTTATCCAGTGCTGTGCTGGTGATCAAGTTAACCTCTACAAAAACTGGACTTTTGAAATTTTGAAATATTTAAAATGGATGCATGACTTCATGATATTTTAATGCATTAGAAAGGAAGGCAAGAATATCCAAGTGTCAGTGTCAAGAAGACACTCTGCAGTCTAATACTGATGCTGAGACCTTTCATATGCCTTTTCTTTGTTCCTGTTTGTTTTTGAGTTTTGGTTTTTAGTTTAAACAAGCAGATGATAAGGCTGTTTCAAAGTGCATATTACACTTGTTAAAATAAGCTGGTCTGACCCTCCAAGACTCTAAAGTCCCACAAAGGTACTTTAAACTTTACTTGAATACTGATGCAGCTGGCAAGCAGGTCGGGCTATTAGAATTTTTTTATGGCTTTCCCCCCCTACCACCTCCCTCCCTGATCTTTTTGCCGTGAAGGGATTTTTAACAGTGAGGTTCCCTCCTGCTGTAAAGGGACAGGATCATTCTCTGAAATAATCTTCCTAACTGTTAGGAGCTGGCTTTTGTCAAAGATGCATGGAATGCTGACACACACTACTGAAGGGTTCCACCTTTTCCAATCGTTTTTGATTATTTGTATGACAACAGAAAAAACATTGTAGGGCAAAAGTGGATATTTTTTTAAATTTTAGTTCAGAGGGATGGATTACTTTGATTAGAAAATATATTCTTACAAATGCAAAAACTGCTGGAGTTTCCTCCTGTTTGCCATGTGAGAGATAATCTGTGCTAGTTATTTACAGCAATGTAACAACCATCAAAATCTGTTCTATATACCCAAATCCCTTCTCCTTTTTTTTTTTTTTTTTTTTTTTAAATGAACATGCAGGAATTTCTATTTTACATCACTGTTACAAAAGCCAATAGTATTTAGGAGTAACTGCTCACAATACAGAAGGACTGGACTCCGCAAGTTATAGTATGGTGAGCTGTTGCTTTAGAATACTGCCCTGTTTGATTTTTTTCTTTCTTTCTCTTTTGTGGGGTTGTCTTTATTATTACTCTTTTTTTCTCCCCAAAATATCTATTTTTATGCATTTGTGACTCCCATTACTCCTTTAAAGAATATTGATAGAAAAAAAAATATACATTTAAATATACATAGAAATATATATTAAAAAGCAGGTTGATCCAATTAACATAATGCTGTCATCTTAAAATGTTTATTTTTATGCAAAACCTGTGGATTATTATTTTTTTTTAAAAAGAGAAGATTCGAAGTACCAGAGCTGTGATTTTTTTGTCTTGCAAGTAATTGTTCTAGAGCATTTAGAAAGCTGTGCTGATACCTAATTTATTGTGGGGTTTTTTGCTGTTTTTGTTGTTGTCTTCTGCTGTGTTTGAACCAGATGACTGTCCCAACAAAGATCCTTGTAAGGCCTTTTCATTTTATTGAGCTTGCAAAGCAACTATCCAGTACTGTATTGTCCCTGCAGAAGTGGTAACACTCTGCAAAAAAGGGATGTTGTTTTCAGGTCATATGAGTGATGCTCAAATATTGCTAGTGGGGAGTATGTTGTGTGTCTCTCCATTTGCTTCCCCCCAACCCCCAAAGCCCTTTCTTAGAGCAGGTAGGATGGGTTACCTGGGTCTTGCATTGCTTGCAAATAAGTGGTGTCAGCACATCTCAGATTCTGAAAATGCAGGATTTGTGGGACCCACAGTTTATGAATTGCCTTATATGAGAGTAGGATGGCATAGCAGGAAGCTTGTAGGTGGCAGTATTTTTTGGAGCCAGGAGATCTCTTTATTTCCTGGGCCATGTTCAGCCCCTTGTTAACAACCACAACTCCTTCCATTTTCAGTATTTTTACATCTGCTAAAATACCTTGATTCTGGTTGGTATTACCTGGCGAAGCAAATTTAGCATTTTCTTTGGCTTAGAACTGATTCAAATAGAAAGAGGGACAGTAAACTCCCAAGTAGGCTGTGCCCACCGTGATTTTTTTCAGTTTGCAGGCTGAACTGAAAAGAGTTGTAAGGGTGACCTGAGACAGTTGTTTTTCTCAGTGGAATGAAAAAGGAAAAATCAAACCATTAAAAAAAAAAAATCATTTTAAACCAAAACAAAGCATTCATTTGTAGGGCTGCTTTTTCACTTTTTAAAAAAACATTTTGACTTGGGCTATAACAAGTTGCTTTAAAGCAAAAATGTGAAACTCTGTTTTGAAAATGCTGAAAGAGAATGTTTTAATGTCTTTTTGCCTTTGCCTTTTTTCTTAACCTGATGACTGGTTTCAGTTAACCCTAAACTGTGTTTTTTGGTGAATACATTATCCACTGAAGAGACCCCAAAGAAGCCTATTGTCCGGTTCTGCAAGGTACTGACAGGGACGCTGGCCACATTTCAGGCATTACCTGGTATCTGGTCCAGCAAAACTGCTGTTTTCCCATCTAATAATCTTCATTGTTTTACTGGGTGAACAATAAAAGCATCTCTGATCCCGTGCCATTGACTGGTTTTGTAGCCTGGCTTAGACTGATAGACCAAGAATGTCTTTCTCAGTTTGGTCACAGAGTTATGACTATAAATTTATAATGCTACTCCAATTTGAGCCTAATCCCATTGTGCAGTGGGAATTATCATTTACCTAACTGGTAAGAAAGAAACAAGACATTGCTTTTTCTCCCCTTTTCTATCTTAGCAGAGTCAGTAATACGTCTTTATTAGGTAGAATCAGGGAAAGGTCCCAGGGTAAAGATGAATGCGTTGTTCCAGGAGAGACTTCTTTCCATGTGCTACTTTCCATGGGCATTTCTCAACTGTCTGCTTTTACCACCTTTATGTTTCTTGGCTGTGAAGGTGATGCAGTAAAAGGGATTGTGCAGGCTTCATTCCAGCTGCTCAGAGCTAGTCCTGCTTTGTGATCTTTTTGCCACAATCCTTGAAGCTTTGTTCACTGTTGCAGAACCCTTTCCTGTCCCACTATCCGAAGACACAGTGGCCAAGGCAAACACTCCCAAGTCAAAGAGGTGTCTCTCTCTTATGACCTGGAGCATCTGTGAGGGCTCCATATTCTGCCTGGAATTGGGATGTCAGCTCAGTTGAGTTTTGCAACAGCCTGTACAATGGAAAAGGCCTAAGGCTAAGGAGATGCTGGGGGAGGACAGCAGTATGATACATTATCTTTCATTTTGGGTTGATGTGCTGACTGCTTTACCTCTTGGTTCCAGGGAGGTCCAAAACCTCTTTTTTTAGGACTGAGAACAAAATGTGAGTGGTCAAGATCTGTATGGTCAATATGGCAACAGGTGTCTCTCTCCTGCAAATGACACTGATTTCAGAGCTTCCTTTTTCCTGCTCTGTGCCAGACAGATTGAATGCTCTTTGCCACTACTGTAGATGTTTTGGATACTGTGCAGTCTCTACCTTAAAACAGTGAACGTCCTTTGCTGAAGGATGCAGAGGTGTCTCTCTCAGCCCATTCTAGGAAGAGCTACTGATCTTCCACAAACAACACCTGACTGCTTCTAACACAGTAGCCTCTGAGTTCAGTAGCCTCTGTGTCTTTCAGCATCTGACCCCACTCTCCAGCTCCTTCCATGCTCGAGGATGAGATGACGGTAGCGTATGGCACTTCCCACCAGCCTGAAATGCACAAACGTGTCCACCAGCAAATTCTACATAACGCAGCTTGATAATGCTGGTATGAGGAAAACAAACAACAGCTTTTCTTCTCTAGGCTGCCAGAGGGAAGCTATTCCTTGCCACACAGGTACCATCCCACCTGGCACTGGTGCAGACACTTCTCTGGTTGCACGCTTTAGTTTAGACATTTCTGAGTAGCAGACTTCTGATGGAAAGGGGTCCTGTGTGGTGCCCAGAGCTGGATTGTGCCACCAGCCCTTGTGAAGTTGGGGTCCTGTAGCTGGCACACGGGGGCTGAGAATTAGAAGGCCATTTCAGAAATTTCATTTATAAAACGAGATGGAGAAGCTACAGCTGTGAAGACTGGTCTGTATGAACTTGTATTTTGATGTGTCTTATGGCTACAACTCCTTCACCTGTTCTCACAGCATATTCTGCTAATCCTGTTCCTAGTCCACATTTCATGTAGATGGTCCCTACTTGAAACTTGCCAGATGCAGTCCTGGGCTTATTGCTTCTCTTTTTAACTGAATCAAATGACAACGACTTTGGCAATGTATTGGCAATCTCTGTTCCTTCTGTTAATTCAGTCTCTGAGTTTAACCACAGTGACCTGAGAAATGTTTGGGTTTTGAGTGTTTTTTTTAATTATTTTAATTTTTGTTTTGTTTAAACAAAGCTGAACAATTCCCATTGTATTCAGAGCTGTGACGCCCAGTTCCAGTGACAAGTACTAGATGGATTTGTCCCATTTTGTTTCTTGGCAATGTTCAGAAATATAATTTGTGTCATCCTAAGTCCTGCGTCAGTTTCTCTGTTATTTTTTACCGCCTTTATATTAAGAAACTGAAACAATTAAGGACCTCTTTCTTCTCAAAGAGGTGAGTAACTTCAAAGAAGCTTGGTTTGTCCAGGCACCATCAACACTGGTCTTACAAACACATGGGATGGAGAGGGCAATGCTGGTCCTTCCTTGAACAAGTAGAACAGCAGAATAAACTCTTCTAGCTGCTGTCTCTGTCCGGTCTGTTGTGAGGACCTGACACCATGTGAATGCAATGTATGGAAGGATTTGAGACCTTTGCTTTTTAATAGCTACTAACCCCAACGTGATATGATCTACATCCTTTAAGGCAAGTTTGTTGATGGGAGTATGACACTTCATGGGCACTATGCACCCTCTGGCCAAATGTCTCTGGCTCCCTTTGGCTTGTTGGAACACTTGTGCGAGCCCATAGGTTTCAGGCAGTCTTTGGGGTCTGCTCTTTGATGGGGTGTTTTCTATAGAAAGGCAATGTTTCTGCCCCTCAACTAGAGTGATTTGGGACCCATGAGAGATGGGGTTAGGGGGATTCACAATTCATAGCTGGCTGACTTGGGGCCACCCCTGTGGATGCTTTATTCCAGATAGGCTCGGTGCAGCTGCATGCAGGACGCAGTGTGTAAATAGCAAGTGCTGGACAGAGGTTGGAATATGATCTGATGCAAATATGCACCAATTAGCACTTTGATGGATGGACTGCCAGAATCCTTTGCTTTAGCATGCGGGTGTGCAAGCCTCAGAGCCGGTGAGGGGAGCTGGCCAGACTGTACTTGCACAGTTCCTTCATTTCCAGACAGCTCAGAGGGTTTAGTACCTTTTAGCATCTTACCTCTGTGGCACTGGATGGACCTGAATCAAATCTTGCGGCGGAGGGAGGGGAAGAGGCAGGCTGTGGCCCTGAAACTATTGCTGCAGTTGGTGACTCAGGCTTTGCCTTGGCTTGGCATGATGGCTTCTGCCAGAGCTGGGCCAGCTCTGACGGGGCTGGGAGCTTGCAGGGCAGGAGCAAAATTTGGAGGTGTGGGGGCTCTGTGCATGCCTTCTATTTGCCCTTCCTCATGCAATTTCATTCCTATCACCCAGAAAGATAAAGAGAACAGGGGAGGGGAGAAGGTGGCCGAGGGGGAGCAGTATGCATAGTTCATTGTCGGCCACCTCTGCTCAGCTGCATAATTCATTCCCAGTGATGCCATCTTGCTCCAAACAAGTGGAGCTTGGGCTCATTGGCCATGTGCAGGCTGTGGCCGTGTGAGCCCTGGCAGCATGTTTGGAGCAGAAACAGGCTCATGGACTGTTAGATCTGGCCCTGAGAGCTCTCACCATGTTGCAGGGACAGCTGGGCTTTGCTCCGGGAATGCAGTGGGAGAAGGAAACCTCTACAGATAGAGAAGGCACACATGGTAGTAGATGAAGCCAGGGTGCCTGGGAAGTGGGCAAGGCTGCAGGGGACTGGCACTGACTGGTGTCAGTCGCCCCACAGCATCCCTGTGAAAAGTGAGAAGTTGGTACTAGGGTTGTGCTTGAGCGGCAGCCCACGCTGCCTGGGAGACCCAGTGGCAGGGAGTTTGAGCTCCAGACTAGAGATGCGAGTCACTCTAACCCAAGGAGTAGATGAGAGTTTGGGGCAGCTCTCAGCAATTTCTCCTGTTTGCTGGCTGGGTGAAACTGATGCCTTTTACAGAGCAGGATTGCTGCTTCAGCAGGTGGAGGAGCCTCTGCTGCCCGTCTGCTGCACGGCCCAATCCACAGAGCCATTAATAATGGTGCAGGAACAGGAATCCAGCAAGTGCCCATGATTAATTAGCTCATCACAGGCAGTTAATGGCCAGCCTGCTCTCCTTGGCCCCGTGGTGCAAGTAATGGACTAGGCATCACTTCTCACTGGCCAAGGTGCAGCCCTCTGCCAGGAGCGATGTGCAGAATGTGCAAGCTGTTTTGATGCACTGCTGATAGGTGTTTGGTGAGATTGTTTTTTCAGACACTGGGGAGATAGATCTGTAAGAGGGGTTGCTAGTTATTGGAGCCAGGTACCCCACTTGCTGGCAGGTTCCCAATCTAATGCCAGGTTTTCTTTTCCTAGCAGTGACATTATCCCCTGTCTTGCCTGTATTTGGGAGTGGTCCCTCTTACTGAGGCTGAGCAACTTCTTCACATGTACTCTGCTTGTCTCAGCACTTTCTCGTGAATTTATACATAGAAATTCAGGTACCACCTATGCTGCATCAGGCATGGGGGGGTGATAGTGCAGTAATGAGGACATGCAAGCAAGGCTGTTTTTTGAAATCTAAGTGGGATGAAATGATCTGCTCCACGGGTGGCCTTGCCAGGCAGGGGTTGAGCTCAACCGAGTATAGGTCATCACCTCTGTCCCAGCTGCTTTGCCATAAGGTAGGAGAAAGAAGAGCTTTAACAGGAGTGCAAGGTATTAAAATTAAATTGCACACATTCACATTGTTTGGTCAGCATGACACAGTCCAAGGTATGAAATGAATGTGATGGGACCTGGGCTCCTGCTGCGCCAGTAAGAGAAGTGGTGCAAGCCTGTTGTCCTGTGTCCTAAAGGGGATTGTGTTCCCCTTTAGGGCACCTGTGACTGCCCCAGTGTTGGCTA